ACGTGCCTTTAGTTTTTCTGCTCGTGTTTATTTTGAGTCCAACATTACCGACCGCCAATTAAAGTCTTCAGTTATTTCCTGTACTTGTTTTTGCATTCGTTGCCACGACTATATATGTTGACGCATGCTTTCCCGTGAGGGTCGACTCAAAAATGCAAGCATTCCCATACCATGCACAGTTTCCCTCCAACACTGCTCTCACGATGCAATCCCCTAGTGACTTGATAATTTCTAGCGATTCAGTCACACGACTCAGATTGTCGGGAATGGTAGTGCCTCATCATGGATGCAGCTCATTATGTACTTACGCATCCTAAACGCAACATGATAGGCGATGCGTTTAATGTGTCATGAGCTTAACGATCAATATTAATTGACTGATGCATCGTTACATCCCTAGCATCTATCACGTCCTCTCTCTACCCTGGATCCATGAACCCCTTTCATGATCGCACTTGAGCTGTGTATGGCTATATATGTGTGTATATCCTTTGGGGCAAATGCTGTTAGCGAGCACCTATAAAGGCCGGCACGGCACATGAGGGGGTGGATGGCCAGCACCACGCCCGGCCGCCTTTGTCTCCCTCATGGTGATGTGTCCACACCACACGAGGTACTCATTTGAGGCTGAGTCGACCTATGGGAGGCCCAGGACTGGTTCAGGTAATCGTCACTGGTGTTGGTGGGTGTGAGCAGGAATCGAACTCGGGCCGCTGGGTTTGTAGTGCAGCACGCGAACCACTGCACTACCGCTCTGGATGATGATCGGCATTGTCAGCCGTGATCATCGACTCACTGGCAGATGAGGCCTTCCCAAGTCATTGCCCGTCCCTCGCATTTTCGTGATTCAACAATTCACCCGGGTCCTGCGCGTATTCATCTTGAGTCCAACTAAGCAGCCTTCTTTCTTAAGTCCTCTGGTCATTTCCTTGGAGTTCATTTCCATTGGTTGTTATGAGCGAATATAACAAGGTTGATAATTTTTTCATTTTTGTTAAATGCCTTTTATTTCTCAACTCCGATGTTTGCAAAATATCTTTGATTGTCGCCATGAGTAACTTTGGCAAGAGCGTGTCACCTTACCGGACTCCCCTCCTGGTAGGGATCGTGTTACTCTCTTCATGCAATTTCGGTCTACCTGCTCTTGTATTTTGAAACATCGAAATGTTCTTTCTTTGTACACCTTGGTTTGTGAGACCTAGGATGACGAATACATTCTCGTGAGTCAACTGCCCTTTGATTGTCCACAAAGCGAGTTATAATAATAGTTTATACGCATTAGTCTGTTGATTGACAGTGCTTGTATGTATGATAGTACGTGTAAGTATAAAACATTTGATAAGTGTGTGTAGCGGTTTGCCTGCTGTGCTACGATCTCGGGGTCCCGAGTTAGATTCCCGCTCATGGCCAACACCAGTGACGATTATCTGAACCAGTCCTGGGGCTCTCCTAGGTCGATTCAGCCTCAAATGAGTACCTGGTGCGGTGTGTAAACATGGCCACGAGAGAGACAAAGGCGGCCGGGCATGACGTTGGCCACCTACCCCTCGCGTGCTGTGCCAGTCTTTATATGTGCTCGCTAACAGCGCTTGCCTTCAACGTCTGTTAAAGCAATACAGGGTATCTTTGTCTTTGTACAAACACCAACAAACTTCGTTACCATGGGCAGCCCACTTGAGGTCAGATCTCGAGTTGATCTGAAGTGACTTATCCTCAAATTACGAACAACTCCAGTTGTTTAACGAAAGTAACACTTCCATGATTTCCTGAATTTCTCGATTTTCCACTTGGGAGTGGGGCATGTCTGTGCCGGGATGTTATGTTTCCCCTAGGCCTCAATTCTGGTGTAGAATTCAAGCCAAGTCCGAAGAGCGAAATCGTGCGAGAAAATTGGGGCTCCTGCCAGAATTGGCAGCCAAATGGCATTGCCACAACCATGGAAACACAAGGAGGGGAGGGAGAGAAAATTGCAGCGCTCACTCAAGTTGTATGCTTCACTAAAACCAAATATAAGACGTGTGCATATACGTGTGTGTCTAGATGTTTGTCAGTAAGTGTGTGCAGAATGAGAATCTTTATTTCGACTGAAGAGTTCCGATTAATTATGAAGCTCTTTTTCACAGATGTTGGGTAGGGGCTGGTCAGAAAGTTACAACAACAACAACAAACAATACAACAACCGATAGGAGAGCAAAGTGTAGAAAAGGTAAGAAAGCCACGAAAGATAAATTAACAAAGTATGTAAATTCAAATTGCAATCCCTCGATAAAATTGGATGTAAAAAAAGTAACTTTTGATACACGGGTAAGGAGCAAAGTTACAATTGGCATTTGCTAATGGGGTTGTATCCGGCACTAATCTTTTGCCTCGGGATATTTTTGGGAAGGAAAAATTCACGATGTTAAGGGAGGAAACGAGGTTTCTTCCAAAACGTTGGTGCTGCAACGACAAAGGCTTCGTCACCTACTCCAATTCGTGTTCTTGGATTTGTGCACTGCACGTGCGTATATGTATGTATGTTTGATTCCCGTCTGCGATGTGTAAGCATCGCAACTGGGGAGACAAATGCGCTTGTGTGCTGTCCCCGCCTTCACAAGTGCTTGCTAACAGCACTCACCCCAAAATCGGTTAAGGCTTTATGGAGGATCTTTGTCTTTGTATATTTGTATGGTATGTACTTGTTGACATCAATGTGTGTGTATGGAAAGCAGTGGTTTTCGCACTGCACGGTGTTCCCCGGTGACCGAGGTTCGATTCCCAGCCACAGGCAAAATCAGTGGCAAGTAAGAGCTCAATATGTCTAGATCATCCCTTAGGTCGACTCAGCCTTAAATCAGTAACTACTATGGTGTGTGAACATCAACACTGGGGAGACAAAGACGGCTAAGCGTGATGTTGGCCACGCCACCAATTTGTGCACCTTAATAAGTGCTTCTTGCACATTTTAATAGGTGCTCGCTAACAGCACTTCAGTCTTTAAGAAAACAATTGAGATCTATGAGTCTGTGTGTGACCTTGCCATCCATCACCATTAGGCCGGACAGGGAGTGGGGTTCAAAGTCCCATTGGGAGTTCTTGTTACGTAACCTCGTGCAGCCATGAGATTCTTAGGATTCCTTGGCTCATAAAGCGAAGGCTCTTTTAGGTTCATTTTTTTATTTTACTTGAATAGTTTCAGTAGCTCATAGAGGCAGACTTTGGCTCCCTGAGGTTCTGTGTCAATGGCTCATAGATATGGGAAATTACTGTCTTAGGGTTGTTGTTTTTTACGTATGAATCACCGTCGATGCTCTGTGCTCATCCCAACTGAGGTTATTTATGGACCAAGCTCCACTAGGAATGCTATAACTCGTTAAATTCTTGCAATCAATCTTTTGGATATATAATTCCTGTAAGCGCTGTTGGGTTTTGTACATGTTTCTTTTCCCCGAATATAGCTTACGAATATCTCTCAACAAGGAGGTTATTTAAAAATGAATTGTTACTTTCGAAAATGTAATATGAAGATGATACACTGATCCTCATCATTGGAATGTGGAATGTCCACTACTGACCCAAGTCTTCCAACAGAATTAAGTGCCACCCCAAACGTGTTTGGGCAGGGAGATATTTTAACTTGACCCTCATTATGGGAACCTCATTTGCCAGTAAAAATATGATAATTGTTTTTTTAGCCTTCTATCTGGCAACAAAACTGACACCTTTTTACAAGGAGTCATGTTTGCATAGACCGCAATACCTGCAGTCATAATACAAACAAAAGAACATAACTCTGATAATGTATGCACTGTCCTTGAAGTTGATTGGTCCACACCCGAGACAGCTTTCCTTAGAGCCTAGTCTCACATGGGTTGGACCAGATTGACCCTCACTGTTGAACACAGGACTACCTAGGTCCTGTCATAGAAATATGGAATGTCAGTAACTCAATGCCACCCATTAGAAACGTGCGTTGAGGGCATTTGGCTACTGCGATGAGTTTGCACATGATAAGCCACTTCATTGAGCTATCATTTGTGGCCAGGTCACTTCTGAAAAAGAGCTATACAGCTCAACGGGCCTTACCTGGTAAAATAAAATAAAAAGTTGAGATTAGTTTAATGAGGGGTTCAAGCCCTGGGGCTAGGTGTCTCTCCGGGTGTCCATAATGGCTGTGTCAGTGTCACTGAGCTGGCGCCGCTGAATGTCTGGCTTTGCGGCCGTGTGTTTTTAGTGACTGGCGTGGGCTTCATGATGTCAGGACATTCATTGTGTGGCCTTTTCGCAAAGCCAGAATCTTGCTGGGTCCCCGTGGTGTAATCCCTAGTCCTGTGAATCTCTCGCTCTCTCAGCAGCTTCATAATTGTCCAGGTACTTGAGTATAATACACCAATTCACTTCCAACGTCCCTCAGCGAATGTATTAACCATCACAATTTGCATCTCTACTTTACTCTACAGTATCTCATGTGCATCATCTGCCTTTCTTGTTCGTCTTTGTACTGTACGCTACATCTATCTTGTGTTATTATGCAACTCGTTTGATTTGTCTCTTTTGTATTGTCTCTGTTATTCTGTATAATCTGTACTGCCTGTCTTATCTGTTCTATCTAATTTGTTTGTATGTGTTTGTACCTGCCTGGATTGCACAGTCGTTCTCATTTGCACTGTCTCCTCTGTGCTGTCTTCTGGCATGTTTGTATAAGTCTCGTTTGTATCTTTTGTCTCGTGGGCACTGTCTGCCTCGTTATTTTGTCTCGTGTCTAATGTTGGTCTCCTCTACAGCCTTGATTTTCTGTCACATAGTTGTGATTATCATAACAAATGCATTCGAACCCAGGATCTCAGCGGTCACCTCCGAGCCACGCAGCCACCTCCTAAGAATGGATGCTAATGGAAGGACCGTTTTAATTTGATTTCGAATGGATCATTCGTTAAGATTTGAATGCACGTCTCCCTTAACGTTTTAATCGAAACTCTCGTTACCCACGCAGCGCTGAGTGATGTTGCCGTCTGCCCCAGGTGAGCGGGAGGAGGGGGATGGAGTCTGTGACGACGCGCGTTGCTGTCACGTGGTTGCTGCTCATGGCGTGCGCCCCTCCTTGCTCAGGTGCTGCCTTAATAGGCGCTCGCTAACAAGACCGCGGCACAGCAGTCTACCTTGCACTGTATGGGGGTGGGGGGGTTCTTAATAGACACTGGCTAACAATAACTGGGTATCCATAGCGCCTAAACTAATTTCAGCACTGACATGTGATGTATATTGTGGTCTTAGTTACCATGAAGGGACTGTGGGGGCGGCTGGGAGAGTGGGGATCAGTGGTCTTGGTACTAAAAAGGTTGAGAACCACTGCTGTAATACAACCCTAACCGTAACCTATTCCCCTAACCTATAACACTGACTACTAACCCACAACCCTAACCATGACCAACAGCCTTAACCCTTAACCCATATCCCTAATGCTGACCTGTAGTTTTTCGCCATACCCCTGACCTAGACTCTAACTTTCACCCTGCAGGTTCTGGGTCTCCCCCGGTCCCCACAAACCTTTCCTTTGTCTCTGTCAACTTCAAGACGCTGCTGGAGTGGCAAGTGGAGGACACGGGCATCCCCGTCACGTTCGACGTGGAGCTATTGGGGTGAGGAGGTGACGCTCTCCTCATGTGCAGTGGGGAGCGGTGGTGTAGTGGTTAGTTTCCCTGCGATAAGAGCCCGGCGACCCGAGTTCGATTCTTGCTCACGGCCAACACCAGTGACGATTATCTGAACCAGTCCTGGGCCTCCCCGAGGTCGACTCAACCTTTCATAGGTGCTCACTAACAGCACTTACCTGAACAGTATATTAAGGCTATACGGGACATCTTTGTTTTTTTGGAGTGTAGTGGTTAACACACTGCAATATGAGCCCAGCGACTCGAGTTCGATTCCCACTCACGGCCAACATCAGTGACGAATATCTTAACCAGTCATTAACCTTCACTTGGTCGACTCAGCCTTAAATACGTATATGGTGCATTTGTGTGAACATCACCGCTGGGGAGACAAAGGTGGTCATACACCTGTGCTCACTAACAGCACTTGACCTAAAAGCTGTGTAGGCTTGACAGTGGCGCGGGGGGGGGGGGGAGTCTTTGTATCTTTTGTGAGTGTTCGTGCGTGTGCACACATCTAATGCCTGTGTGTGTGTGTGTGTACATGTCAGTGCAACGTGGCCGACCTGGAAGCAGAAGGCAGAGTGCACGGACTCGATAGAAACGACCTGTGACCTCACGAGCATCATGGCCGATCCGCGCTTGTCATACCGCGCTCGTGTGCGTGCCATCCCGGGCGGTTCCAGCGCAGTGCACACCGTACCCTGGGTCATGTCGCCCTCCTTCGTGCCCTACGACGACAGTACGGTGATACCACGGCATTCCATAGCATACCACAGACATAGGATGACTGTACAATGATATCGCAGTTTCATGATAGCAGGTGCATTTGACAATTTCACACCTGTTCCACAGGTTTAGCAGGTGTACAATGAGATCACGGGCACCTTCGATTAGCATGGTTGGCTACATACAGTGCTAAAGAAGATCTACATACCAATACCAATACCCACCATTCGACTCTAAGTGACGGTGACGTCACGATGGCGCCTATGCCAGGCCAGGCGCACTTTGAGGCCACGTGAAGTGTCGAAGGCTCGCTGACAGGTTTCAAGACAGACCCATGTGCCATGGGTTGGCTGACTGGTAGATGCACGAGCAATACCCCTTACTGTGCCAACTTGCTGTATTTTAGCCGCCCGGCACTCCGCTCGTTGTGAGCGTCACTCCTCTGCCCTCCGTTGTTGCTGGAGGGCATCTGCCTCCAACTGCCCAGTAGCAGCATCCTTCACGAGCCTCTTCCATAGAGGCCGATCTTGACACCGCTGGTATCAGTCGTTGGCAAGTCCACTCAGCTCCACATCCTCCCGTACCACATCAGTCCATCTCTTCTCCAGCCCATGTCGTGCCCGTTTAGCCCCCTCTATGCAGCCAAACTGAAGCTGCTTGGGCATGCGGTGGCTGAGCATGCGGCTACATGGCCCAGCCAACGCAGCCTTGCCTGATGGGAATATGTCCAGATCTTTCAAGGATTTGTGAGTTCCTCACACAATCCAGCCGGGTTAAACCCAGGATGGATTATAGGCAGGCCTGCTTGAATATTTCTAACCGGAAAAGATGTGCCATTAGAGGGGTCCACGTTTCACAAGCATAGAGAAGGCAGGGCATGACTGTGGCTGAGAAGACCCAAAGCTTATTGCGGACCGACACACCAGATAGCTTCCACACAGCATTACGCAGCCGATGAAAGATAATGCGGCCTGACTGATTCGGAGTGAGACCTCTGCTGTTAAACCGGAGCTAGTCATAAGCAGAATGCCCAGGTATGGGAACTCTCCACTCTCTCCACGACTGCTCCATCACCAATGGGGAGCTGAGGGGGTGGAGTGTTTGGTGGCACAAAATACCCAGGCAGTTGCTTAGTTTTGGTGGAGCTGATGGTAAGACCCCACCTCTTAGTGGCAACAGCAGCACCTCCAACTCCTCCTCTGAGTGAGAAGCAATCACCAGATCATCAGCACACATAACATGGTGACGAATAGGCAGCCATCCCTCAACCGCACCCATGCATCGATCAGCCTCCCATTGTATCTGTATTAGATGGAAATTCCCCCGGTACAGCCATGGAAAGCTTCTCAAACTATGTGGTCATAGATGATGTAGAATAACGTGGGAGCCAGAGGACATCCCTGGCGCACCTCAATGTGAACAGGGAATGGCTCCGACTCCATAAAGTTCTACATACACACACATACATAGAGGCATGTCAATCATGGTCCCACACGCACACCAGTCACAGCGATGCCGTCATCTTGGGCGTAACATCACGACTGTGCTGGTCATGGGGTGGTAGGCTTACCGCACTTGGCAAAACTAACAAACGGGACACAAAACACTGCCTTACCCACATGTCTCCATATCTCTGCGCTGATGACATCATCTACAAATGTGTTTGTGCACTGGAAACCGTGTCTCCGTGTCCTCGGGTCCCTATGTCCCCTTGATCCTGAGTCTTCCTCTGCCGATGCCCATGTGCCCCTTTGATCGCGTGTCTTGCTGTCCCCATGTCCCTGTGTCCCCTGGATCCTGTGTCTCCATGTCTCCATGTTCCATGTCCCTTTGATCGCGTGTCTTGCTGTTCCCATGTCCCTGTGTCCTATTGATCCTGTGTTTCCGTGTCCCCATGTCTACATGTCTCTACGAGCAGCTGAGCTTGGGAAGCCACAGTTCGAGGCAGTCGGGCGGAATGGGAGCATCCAGCTGAAGGTTGCAGACCTGATCACGCCCTACTTCAACATTGACGGCAGCCACAAGACCATGGGCGACATCTACACGGGAGACCTCCGCTACCACCTCACCTACTGGAAAGACGGCAGCAGCGGACGGGTGGGTGGGTGCACGAGGGAGTGTATGGGTGAGTGGGTGGGGGAGTGGGTGAGTGAGCAAAACAGTGAAAGGGTGGGTGAGAAAGTGTGTGGGTAAGTGAGTGGATGAGCGGGTGGTTGAATGGGTGAATGAGTAAATTATAGAGTGGGTTAATGGGCCAGTTGAGTGAGTGTGTAAGAGCGATAATGGGTGGATGGGTTGTATGAGTGGACAATGAAGTGAATGGATGGGTCGGTGAGGAAGTGGGTAGAGGGAGTGAGTGAGTGTGCGTGAGCAAGAGAGTGAATGGGTGGGTGAGTGACTAAGGCAGGTACTAAAGACTGCAAGAAATAAGCACTGAACTCTCCAATCACATTATGAAACATGTGAGACCAAATTCAGGGCCCAATCACAGCAATCAGCAACTCGAGGATGGACACTGCAGGCCCAGGCTAGTCCAGCTTGAGAGGTAGCCTGGGCCTGCTTTGAAAGAGGACCTTCAAATACCTTTTGGTGGCCACACAAACACACAGCTCGGTCACTTCTTCATATCAAGTGGCTGAGCGCGAATGTTCATTTGAATCATTATTATCACAGTGCTGTTCATCAAGTTGAACGTGTTCCCCTCCATGACCCGACTGGTGTGGCTATGATGTATGCAGTCACAGGTAATTGTGGTTGCGGGTCGTTTTGAAGTGGGAGGCCTCATCTGCCTGCGGGCCGCGCGAAATGAAGTCACGATCGATAGGTTCCCTGCCCCGCTTTAAGCTAATACTGAGAGGTAGGTGTTTCTCTCAGATCTGGAATCCATGGCTTAAAAGCCCCGACCAATAAATGTGTAAACACATTTTACCCAAAGAATTACTGAGTCGCAGTAATCTGGGGAACAAATCCTTGCAAGTTTCATCAGTGCCTGAAGACTGTCCGTGCTTACCACACGCGCATAGTGTAATGCGTAACAGTCAAACACCAAACTTGCCACACCTCCAAGCATATTTTACACCCTATAAAAAGATAGAGATGCCCTGTGTACCCTGACGGCTGTGAATTATTATGAAGTTGTCCAGAGAAAGTTGCGGCGAGCAGACGCGCACCGTTGCTAACAGCTGTGCATGCATTATTTTGTCGCAAGTGGTGTTAGCGAGCACCTAATGAAGGCTGGCACGGCGCACGAGGGGGGTGGATTGGCCAAAATCGCTCCCGTCCACCTGTTTCTCCCCAGTACTGATGTTTACATGCCGCACCAGATACTCATTTAAGGCTGAGTGAACCTAGGGGAGGCCCAGATTCGATTAAGATATATTTTTCGTAATGTTAGCCGTGCCCGGGTGACCAGGTTCGTACCATGATACGGTAACCATTACACCGCCATATTTATACCCTCATAATGAGCTTTCTTTATTTCTGTCAGGTTCCTCTGAACAAATTTCTGCCAGAGGTGTCTTTGTGTAGCCAGTCGCTGCTTCGCTCATTCTCAATCCTTTCCTTCTCACACTTTATGGCTCCATCTATCTGCCTGGATTTCTGTTTTTCATCGACACCTGTTTAATTCAACTTTTATTGTGTGCAACATTGCCAAGTACCACATCCTGTGTTTGGGTTCCTTCTCGTAATGCATACAAACCACTGTATTGTTATTTATTTGGTGTCTTGAAACGATTACACTCTATGCACACTCACAAACATGTCCACCAGTGACACAGGCCAGACACACACATTCCTGAGCCCGCCGGAGAGAATGGCCTGCGCGGTTGTAATCGCAAACCGGGAGAGGTCGAAACATCTACAGTAAAGCAAGGGATTCTTTTCTTTCCCCGCAATTTGTGAGTCGCTCTTAAAGAAACTGGTCATAAATTTCAATTTAAAGCTTTCGTGACTGCAGGGATTCATCTTATTGGTTCTTTCGGTAAAGTCAAATAGAAGGGAAATAATAAAATAATAAATATTAAACGTAATAAAATACAATTCTCACGACGTTTCGGGCCACAACGATGAGCTATAAAGAGGAAGGCTGCTTGTGTTGTGGCCGAAACGTCGTGAAAATGGTATTTTATTATGTTTTACTTTTATTATTTTATTATTTCCCTTCTACGTGACTTTACCGAAAGAACCAATAAGACAAACTGGTCATGATCAGCATATGTATTAATACTGGAGAAATGCGATGAGCTATAAAGCTCTTTTTCACAGATGTCCAGTAGGGGCACGGGGTCAGAACGAACGGTCGAAGAGGGCGAGCAAAGAGGTAGCACTGTTGGGCCCACACGGGACTCCCGTCATAGCCCGAGCCGAGTGGCAGGAGGCGTTGGCGCCTCGTGGCGTCGCCATCTTTTCCACAGACAAAACCTTGATACGTTTCTTAGCCCAGGGTCTATCACAACTGTCCTCATCATCATCACGATCCGTGGTCATCCACTGCAAATTTCGTCATTTATTTCCACTTTCCTCTGTGTTGTGCCAAAATGTTAAAGTAATAAAAACTGTCCAGTAAGCTGTTGTGTAGTTCAGCGCAATACCATCAGATCTCGGGAAACATGGACTCCGGGGCGGCAGGGTTTTGCATCGATAACACTTCTTGCCTCGCATCAAGAAGAGCCTTGGTTCATTTCTTGACATGGGTGCCTTCCTGCGTTAAGTTTGTATGGTTTCTCTCTGCATGCGGTTTCCTCTGGCTTCTCCAGTTTCGTCCTATAGTTAAAAACATCCTCAGCGATTGGTGTTAGCCAAACATACCATTCGGTTCAATCTTGATTTGAAGCTTTCGTGACTGTAGGAATCCATACTCTTTGGTTTTTTGGTAAAGTCACGGAGGTAGAAAATAAAATAAATCACGACGTTTCGGGCGCAACACAATCGTCCATCATCAGGTAGGAAAGCATGGTCTGCTGCTGAGACAGCAGACCATGATGATGGACGCTTATGTTACGCCCGAAACGTCGTGATTTATTTTATTTTATACATACGTGACTTTACCGAAAGAACCAAAGAGTATACCATTCGGTGTTTCGATGTCTAGGTGTTGATTTGTATTACTCAAATGCTCTGGCAATACTGGAGCACTCCTCTCATGCCATTAAACCAAATTTGAGCGTGTTAATGGGAGAATGAAAGATTGCATGGGTGGATGAGTGGGTTGGTGAGAGAACAGGTAAGTGCGTGGGTGAATGAGTGAGTGGTTAGGCAAGTGAATAAGTGAGTGGATGGATGGATGAGCGAGTAGGTAGGTGATTGCGCGTGTGAATAGGTGAGCGAGTGGGCGAGCGGGTGAGCAAGTGAATGAGCGAGCGAGTGAGTGAATGGGCGAGCTGGGCCTGCGTGCAATCAGACGAGTTGGCAAGCATGTGCGCCTGCATGTGGGGCGAGCGTGGGCAGAGCCTATCCCTGGATTTTCCCAATGTGGTCGATCTATTGACTGCAAAACAGGAGTCGCTGCATTCCTGCGGTCCTCCTCCTCCTGTTGCGTCGGTGTTGTGTTATCTGTTGTGTGAGTTTATCGCGACTCACCTCCGTTGAGGTGGCGGCACCTCCACTCCCTCTTCTGGGGAGCGGCGCCCTTGACCTACTCATCACGAAGTTTCCTTTGAGGTCTTCGACGCGCTTCAAGATGCAAAACCACTTAATCTCCTCTGGCCTCGACAGTGATGCTGTCGGCAGCAGCATCATTGTTCAGCATCTTCATCAGCAGCATTCCCCATCACCATTGTGCCATCACCAGCAGGAAAGTCGCTACCATCATTCTAGCAGAATGATTCTTGACATCAGCAGTAGCAGCAGCATCATCATCATCATCGACATCATCACCCTCAGCAACACGAGCTGCAGGTGAACAGGCATCATCGGCTGGAGTAAAAACATCATCATCATCATTCACCATCATCACAGTCGTCATCATCAAAAGAAAATTGCCTCCAAAACAAAGTCACACAGGGATCGACGTCTTCACCCGTCATCCGGTTGCCCTTGCTACGTCTGATTGCTATGCTCACCAGGTTCTCTTCGCTACGTCTGATTGCTATGCTCACCAGGTTCTCTTCGCTATATCTAATTGCTACGGTCATCCGAGTGCCCTTGTTATTTGGTTGCGATGGTGATTGGGTTGTCCTCATCTGGTTATCGAGCCCGTTATCCCTGCATGTGTGTGAGTTTATCTGGTCGCTGGGTAGCTGTTGTTTCCCAACACCCGTGCATGTGAGGAGGTTGTCGACTGGTTGTTGTCTCATCTTGTTATCACTTTCCTTGCTGTATGATCATCTGTTTTCAGCCACACGTGCGTAAGAGAGAAGATCATTTTTATATGGGTGTCTGATTAGTCAGCGTCTTGGTTAGTCATCTGGTTACAGAGTCATCTCGTCACTCTGTAATCTGGCTGCTTGATTAACCGGTTTCCCTGTCGCCTTTTTGCATGCATTTGTCACGTGCAGAAGGTGTCTGTGTCTCTTGTGGAGCAGCAGTGCGGTGGTAAGCGCAGTGTTCTGCAGAACCTGGCTACCCGAGTTCTATTCCTGTTCGTGACCAATAATAGGGGCAAATATATGAGCCAGTCTTGGTCCTCCTTTAGGTCAATTCGGCCTTAAATTAGTCTATGGTATGGTGTATATATCAGCACTGAGGAGACAAAGGCAGTCGGGCACGGTGTTGGCTCACTCCCTCCTATGCTGTGCCGTCAGTCATTGGTGCTCGCCAACAGCACTTGCCCTAACAGTCTATGAAAGACTACACGTGGCCCCTTTGTCTTTGTGTATGAAGAGTGGTAGCACTCTGCACTATGAAGCCAGGGACCTGAGCTAATTAGCCACTGCTAATATCAGTGACAACTAATTGATATCTGAACTGGTACTGGACCTCCCCGATGTAATCTCAGCCTTAAATGAGTGTCTGATACAGGCATCAATATCAGCACTGGGGAAATGAAGCCACTGGCCACACCACCCCTCGTATCCAGCCGGGCGGTGGTGGCTGTGCACGGGGTCTGTAATCCCAGCCCTGTGGAGGCAGCGAGAGTGGTGAAACTGCCTTCCAGTGGGTGCCGAGGTGCCGTACCCGGGCTCGCCATCTCCGTTCACAATCCCAGCTGTCTCTGTCCGTTCCCCCTCTTCTCTTGTGCCCAATCACGATTTCATTCTTTCTCGCCTCTGGCCCCCGTGCACTGGAACAGGCTGTCCCTACACACCAAGCAGTCAGCCTCACTGTCTATTTTTCGTTCTTCCCATTAAACACACTCACTTATTACGTGACTTTACCGAAAGACCCAAAGAGTATGAATTCCTGCAGTCACGAAAGCTTTAAATCAAGATTCACTTATTTTCCCTTGCTTGCGCAAACTCCCCTTCTCCCTCCCTTCCCCATCACCAACTCCATCCACTCTTCACAACTTCCCTATCCATTCATCACACTCACTCGTCATTAACCACTCATTGTCACTTTTATCATCGTTTATTTCGCAGATCATCACATTCATGTACTGCCACCCGTCTCATCAACTCATCTCATTTCTGCTATACAAATAGTTAATTCTTTGTTCGGCGCCTTCATCACGGCGCTATATAAATTTTAAGAAGGATAAGAAGGCGGTACAGCAAGTCGATGAATCTCCATCTCTTTCCATCTGTATGGAGATAGAGCGTTGCCCCCTTGCACACGCGGGTTTTCTCCGGGTGCTCCGGTTTTCTCCCGCACGTATAATAAACGCTCGTCATTTATTGGCTGGAAACATCTAAACATAAAACTCAATGCAGGACCCTCCTGACAAAGAGTCGTATGGCTCACCGTGGCTCTCATGGATAAATACGTTCAAGTAAATTACAGCTCTTGCTTTAACAGGACTTGCCCGAACATGCGATGTGGGCTATATGGGGGGATCTTTGTGTAGATGTGTGCATGTGTTTATGTTTGTGTGGGAGTGAGACAAAGCACCGGGGCAGGTTTTTTTGTTTTGGATAGTTGCGGGAAAGGAGGGTGGAGGGCGTCCCGTCTGTACGAACTGTGCTCATGGGCGCAGCTCTGCTTCGTCTTTTAATCGACCGTGGCAGCTGTGTGGCATACCGTGTGGCATACTGTGTGTGGCATACTGTGTGGCATACTGTGTGTGGCATACTGTGTGTGGCATACCCTGTGGCATACCGTGTGGCATACCGTGTGGCACACCGTGTGGCACACCGTGTGGCACACCGTGTGGCACACCCTGTGGCATACCCTGTGGCATACCGCGTGGCATACCCTGTGGCATACCGTGTGGCATACCGTGTGGCATACCCTGTGGCATACCGCGTGGCATACCGCGTGGCATACCGCGTGGCATACCGCGTGGCATACCGCGTGGCATACCGCGTGGCATACCGCGTGGCATACCCTGTGGCATACCGTGTGGCATACCCTGTGGCATACCGCGTGGCATACCGCGTGGCATACCGCGTGGCATACCGCGTGGCATACCGCGTGGCATACCGCGTGGCATACCGCGTGGCATACCGCGTGGCATACCCTGTGGCATACCGTGTGGCATACCGTGTGGCATACCCTGTGGCATACCCTGTGGCATACCGCGTGGCATACCGCGTGGCATACCGCGTGGCATACCGCGTGGCATACCGCGTGGCATACCGCGTGGCATACCGCGTGGCATACCGCGTGGCATACCGCGTGGCATACCGTGTGGCATACCCTGTGGCATACCGTGTGGCATACCGTGTGGCATACCGTGTGGCATACCGTGTGGCATACCGTGTGGCATACCGTGTGGCATACCGTGTGGCATACCCTGTGGCATACCGTGTGGCATACCGTGTGGCATACCGTGTGGCATACCGTGTGGCATACCGTGTGGCATACCCTGTGGCATACCGTGTGGCATACCCTGTGGCATACCCTGTGGCATACCGTGTGGCATACCGTGTGGCATACCGTGTGGCATACCCTGTGGCATACTGTGTGGCATACCCTGTGGCATACCCTGTGGCATACCGTGTGGCATACCGTGTGGCATACCGTGTGGCATACCGTGTGGCATACTGTGTGGCATACTGTGTGGCATACCCTGTGGCAGCTGCCTCGCCCATCATTCCATACAAAGTCCCGAGTCTTCACCGCACTCGTGCTGCCTCTTTTCAAATGCTTGCAAAACGTGGACACTGTAAGTGAACACCTGAGCCAGCTCGAAACATTCAGCCGGACGGACCTGCCCGAGATCCATCCTGGGTTCATAATCTGGCTGGATTGTGCGAGGAGCTTACAGAACCTTGACAGATCTGGACACAGTGCCATTGGTGAGCTCCGGCAGGCGAGGCTGGGTGTTGTAGCCCACGTTCACAGCCAACACATGCCCAAGCAGCTTGTGTTTGGCCAAACAGGGGGGCATGGCAAGGCTGGAGAAGAGATGGGCTAATGCAGTACAGAAGGCTGTGGAGTTGAGGGAACTTACCGATAACTGATACCAGTAAGATCAAGATCGTCCTCTGTGGAGGAGGCTCCTGACGGACCGAGCGGTTAAAACACAGCAAGTTTGTACTGTGTGCAGCACAGGCAGTGCATCTGGCAGTCAACTCAGTCAGTAAACCTATCATACCTGGGTGTGTCCCTTAACCTGCCAGTAAGCCTTCGACACGTGGCCTCAAGGTGCACGTAACCTGGCACAAGCACCAGAGTAACACAACGGCAGTTGTTGATCTTGTGTCTGTGTGTGTAGAAGGAATACCAGTCGCGCCAGGCCGCCTTCATGCTGACGGGGCTGGATGAGGGCGAGCTGTACTGCTTCCACGTGCAGCTGCTGGTGGACGTTGACAACGCTGAGCGCCGTGGGGAGGAGAGCGACGTGAAGTGTGCACGCTCGGGGCTCGCAAAGCCCGGTAGTGCACACACGTGCACACGTACACACATATACAACATAAAGTTATCCCAGGTAGCCTTAACGGACTGTTGGGGCAAGTGCTGTTAGCGAGCACCTAGTGAAGGCCGGCACGGCACGCGAGGAGGTGAGTGGCCAGCACCAGAACCGGACATCCTTTGTCTCCCCGTTGACGATGTTTACACATCGCTCCAGGTTCTCATTTGAGGCTGATTTCACACACGCACGTATATGCATATACAACACATGTGCGTGCATGCATCTACCACACTTGTACACGTATACAGCGAGACACACAACGGCGCTTGCACACACACACACCACCTCTTTCCTTCACTGCTTGTGCCACCTTCTCCACATCCTTCACGTCATTTATTACATCACCACTTATGTCTCCCATCTTTACTACTTTCCTGTCTCCGTAATACCAAACCTTTACCTCCATGTCCTCCATCCTCCTCTTTCTCAATCTCCCCTTTTCATTCACATCCTGACAACCTCCACAACCTCATTATTCTTCCTGTCCCTATTCTCATTCTCCTTCTTTGCTCCCTGTTAGACTACGCGTGGATATTCCTGGTGGCGGCTGGCATCGCCGCCCTCATCATCGGCGTCGCCCTCATCGTCCTCATCGTGTGGCTCTGCCACCGCTGCCGCCAGCAACGCAAGTCGGAGCGGAACGGGACGGTCGTCTCGTACACGGCTGCCGCCGCCCAGAGGGATTAACCGGGGACTGCCCCCCCCCCTTGACCACCACCTCTGACTGACCCCCCCAAGAAACCAAGCAGGAGTGACTCAAGGACCCATCCAGTGCCCATGCAAGAACACAAAAGAGACTGTGAATGCACACACGACACTGTGAAGGTGTGGATGATGGCGACGACGACGATGATGATGTAATGAATTCTGGTGATGAGGATGATGAAATTTAAGATGATGCCGTTAACAGTGAATGACCATGATGATGAAAGACCTATGATCATGATTATAAGATGGTGATGGTAAAGATGATGGAAACGACCATGCAGGTGGCTGCATCGACTCCCTTCAATCACCAGTAATCAAAAAACCCAAATCCACTAAAATGTAGTCGGAAGACACGTGACATTGGCTCACGTGCAAAGAGATATCTTGATAAAAGTGAACGGCGGTTACTTTCACTGATCAGTGTCCGTGGAAGGGGCACATTTTGGCTCCGAGCTGCCACTGTTCCCACTGGCCCGGGACATGAGACTTTAGTGGGGCTGGTTTTTTTAATTTAGGCTGTGGACTGAGTTGAACACTGTACTAAATTTGGGTCTGGGCAAGTGGCTCACCTTGGCTCTTAGCCGAACATTTGACGTGAGCTTAACGCTAAAACTGACCTAGGTACCGGTTGTGTGTGCGCATGTGTGCTGTACATGCATGTGTACAGGTCTTTGTGGGGTGTATTTACAGTAAATGTCTATTTATGTATATCTCTGTGTACAAGTGTGTGTGCGTGTGTACATGTATCTGTGTGTAGGTCACATGTATGTGTGAATGCATGGACAGGCGACACAATTTAACTGGGTTCGATATCTGGACATGAATAACATCTCTTACCAGGAATCTGAACCTGTCGTGTACCTCGGTTAGGTCGACTCAGCCTTAAATGAATACCTGACATGGGGGTGTAAATATTAGTACTTGCAGTTAGTTGCGGATCGCAATGACCACACCACCCCTTCGTGCACCATTCCGGTCTTAATAGGTGCTCGCAAACAACATTTACTGCAAAAGTCTGAGCCTGCAATTGAGATGGTGCTGTTTGTCCAATATTGAATTTACACTCCTGACAGAAGATTGATGAATCTTAGAATTTAACAAAAAAACACACTTTCCGAGCGGCGAACGGAACAATGAGAAAAGTGACCTCGGCCACTGTGGCTTCCTCCAAGCACCCGGAGCAGGGAAAGAAAAATATCTCCGTATTTATAAAAAAGAATAAAATAATAAAAAATAAAACAAAATAAAATAATTATCACGACGTTTCGGCCACAACGCAACGTCCACAACGCAAGCAGCCTTTCTCAGGTGAAGAACAGGTCTGTCAGAAAGACAGCGTTCTTCACCTGAGGACGGCTGCTTGCGTTGTGGCCGAAACGTCGTGATAATTATTTTATGAAGTTGTATTTTTTATTATTTTATTATTTCCATTCTACGTGACTTTGCCGAAAGAACCAAGAAGATGAATCCCTGCAGTCACGAAAGCTTTAAATCGAAATATAAAAAAGAAGTGTAGGGGTGGTTGTATTATTAGGCGTTCAAGGTGGGAATTACGGTTGGTGTTGGGTTTAGCGCAAATGGGTTCGGCTTCGAGTTAGGTTTCAGTTATAGTATTTGAGGTAGGGCTAAAGTTAGGATTAACAATTGAGTTATGTTTAGGGCTGATGTTGGTTTTCAGGATACTGTTATGGTTAGTTTACATTCACGTTAGGGATAAGGTTGGTATTCGAGTAAGAGTGAGTGTTCACTATGCTTCATTTTAACAGTTATATTCTCAAAACATTCTAAAAACATCTCGACTGTGTTGCATGTGTATGTCTTTGTATCTGTATGTAAATATCTAAATATATGTATACGTGTGCTTTATCTTTAGGTTGTACATTTAATCTGAACACTACTGGGGTAACAAGTTTACTGGGTTTTAAAAAATATATATTTTTAAGTTTTATTTTCTTATACAAAATGTTTATCTTGCTTTGAACACTGGAAGGGAACAAGGTGTGTGTGTGCGAGTGTGTATGTGGTAGGTCGACTCAGCCTTAAATGAGTAACTGGTGCAGTGTCGAAACACATCAGCACTGGGGAGGCAAAGGGGGCCAGGCATGGTGTTGGCCACCCAACCCCTCGTCCCGTGCTGTCCTTGATAGGTGCTTGGTAACAGCACTTAACCCAACAATGTGTTGAGGCTATATGGGCAACCTTTGTGTTTGTGGGGTGAGGGAATGGTGTAATAGTTTGCGCACTGCACTACAATCCCAGTGACCTGGGTTCGATTCCAAGTTGCAGTGCATAACATCAGCGATACGTAGTATCTGAGCCCTGTATTGGGCCTCTTGTAAGTTGACTGGGCCATAAATGTGTGGAATCTAAACTTGAGCACTGGGGAGAAGACGGTGGCTGGGCTTGGTACTGGCCTCATGAACTCTGTGAGCCATGCAGACCTCAATAGGTGCTCTATCGTTCTAAACAGGGTATTTGTTTCTGGCTGTAGGAGTTGTGGTGGACACTTGGGACTCTTTTGTATAGTTAAACACCAACCCTAACTTACCCCTATTCTCTACCTACAACTCCAAACTAACCTTGAACTCAAAATCCCGTGCCTTGGAGCGATTGATCATGCGCATCTGGTTTTTGTTAAAAAAATAAAAAAAAGTATGCAAATATAACAAGGACGACAACGACTCTGATTCAGTGTTTTAATTTTCACAATTGGGGATTTGGGGAGGGTGCGATTAGGAGTAGTGTTAAAGTGACCTCAATTGGACGTAAAAAATTGAACGGAATGTTACAGAAAGATATGCATCAAGACGTGCTTCAAAAACAACTACAAGACCCAGCGCTTTCATCCACCTACTCACTGCTCATTCAGTGCTCACTAATGTTACCCATCTCCCGACCCACTCACCCATTTACAAACACCTTCACCAAATGTATGTTAGTTGAACTTCGTTCGCACCGTACATTGCCAACCGCGCTAATCAGAGGTGCGGGTCAGAGCAACAAACTAAACACTTAAAAACAGTTCACTCACCCACCTGCTCACCCACTTACCCACCCAATCACCTGCCTACCCACTCACCAGCCCACCCTTCTACTCATGGCTCCACCCTTATACCTATCCAGCCACTCTCCTGGCCACTCGCCAACTCGGGCCCCTCTTCAGAGAGCTCCGAGGTGCTGTGCCACGAGTGCCAGGCTGATCCCCGTGCAGCCCAGACTGACGAAGTTTGCGAAGAGGGAGGCCTTGTGGTATCGACGGAATCGCCCGACAGCGCGACTGTACTTCTGGTCGCGCTCCTCCAGCTGGGCACACTTCTCCTTCATGTCCTGCGCGTTCTGCATGGTGAAAAAACACGACTCTTGGGGGTCAGTGTTCATAGGCAGGTCTTAATTTCTCACTGAATATTTCCTGGGTTGCTGCTGAACTGGAGGTGGCATGTGAAGAGTAGCCACAGTAATTGCAAAATGTATACTGGATGTGGTGTCCCAGGTGTGGAAATATTTTCCAGGCCACTGACCCGGATAGTCCCAGCTGAAATCAATCTCTCGTCATGGGTCATTGTCGCACTGCTGTACTGTGTATTTTATACTTGAACCATTTTAATAGGATCGACTAACACCTACATCTCTGTAGGAAACCAGGTTACCCTTGCTCAAAGAGCAGATCAGAAAGTTAACATATCCCTACCCTCAATAACCGTGGGGCAGCGTACATCATTGTAGCCGGTGTTAAATATTCCACATTACTTTGGTGATGGTCAGGCTATGTGTAATACAATCACTGTTAACCACAAAGGGGGTGATGACAATGATGATGTTATATGTGGATCATAAATTATGAATGAGTTGATCTTACCCCCTACTGGGAATTAAACACATGAATTTTAAAACAATGTTAGTGCTGTGACCACAGTGACACACACCCCACCGGTCTAATTAAAGAATGCAAAAATTCGTTTGAAAATTTCCACCATCACACCCACCTGTGATTGGCCGGAAGCCGGCCCTTCCTTATTGATCGGTTGGGCGGGCTCTTGTCCCAGAATGCCGTGTTCTACTTCTATGGCGGTCATCTTCTCAAGGCTCGTGATGGTTGTGTCGCTGAACCAGCGCGCGTTGAGAGCCCAGCTCACCACGGACACGAGCCACAGCCACATCTACACAGATGTGAGGTTGGGGGGGGGCGTGCATCGTGAGTGGGGGGAGCCACAGACACACCTGTGGATGGTTGGAATATGAAGATTTATCAATTAACAAAAATTAATGGTTTATTTATTTTAATTAATTGCAATTGTGTTACTCTTTCGGTAAAGTCACATAGAAAGAAAATACATTTAATAATATAATACGGCGTTTCGATTGTAATACAAGCAATCGTCATCAGGTAGAAAACAAACCGAGTGAACTTAGAAATACAATGCAATACAACACAGAGAGTCGGCTAACACAACAGTCAGCACCTTACCTGGTTGATTACCTTCTTCCAAAGATTGCTAAATTTGAGAGAGAGACACAACACAGACACGGAGACACAGACAGACATACAAGCAGAAAGAGACAACACAGAGACACACAGAGAGAGACACACAGCAGATACACTCTGTGTGTCAATGTTGTGCATCTCTTTAATTTATTTTCTTTCTACGTGACTTTAGCGAAAGAACCAAAGAGTAATTCCTGCAGTCACGAAAGCTTCAAGTCAAGTTTGCAATTGTGTTATCAGCATGAGCTCATCAGATGAGAAACACAATAAATGCCATCTGTGATTGGTGGGAAGCAAGAACCGGTCACAGTACGCGATTTGCGAGGAAGTGAGAGGCGAACGCCGTCCGTGATCTCCGCGTTAGAAGCGAGAAGCAAGTTACGACCTCTGACCTGCACCACCTCCTGCGTATCGAGCGCCTCGCGCGGGTGGTAGAGGGCGAAGAGCGCGAGGTTGAGGATGGAGCAGCACGAGCCGAGCATGAAGTAGATGGGGAAGAGGAGGCCCTGTACGCTGCGCAGCCACTTGCGCGGCAGGTGCTGACGCATGATGAGACCTGCGGAGAGAGAACACGAGGAGGGCGGGGGGGGGGGTGCATGGGGGTGGGAATGGAGTGGCGAAGTAAACTAAAACTAAACAAAAACTTGTTATGTTACCAGGTAAGGCCCACTGAGCTATATAGGTCTAAATTTCGATTTAAAGCTTTCATGACGACAGGGATTCATCTACTTGGTTCTTTCGGTAAAGTCACGTAGAAGGGAAATAATAAAATAATAATAAAAATATTGGTCTTTTTCAGGAGCGACCTGGCCACATGATAGCTCACCGACATGGTTTATCATTTGGGAATGAATAGCAGCCTAATACTCTAAAAGGTATGTTTCTAAATGTGGAGGGAAAAAAAGCGGAGGACCCGGAGAAAAACCCACACGACCACGGGAAGAGAGACACCGCAAACTCCAAATATACAGTCGTCAGGGTTGGGATAGAACCAACGACCTCCTGTATACCAGGCGAGGTAGTTCACATCTAGCCACCGTGGCATCCATGTATCATGAAACCTGAACAGGTGAGAGAACATGGGGGTTGGAATGTGTTGGTGAAAGAGTAGACCTGGGGAGACACGGAAACATGGGGATATGGAGAGCGAGGGACCAGATATGGAAGCGATGGGTGATGCCACAGGGAAACTGAGAGATACGGTGGAGATGTAGGGGCAAACACATGGAGATATGGTGAAAATGTTACGGGGAGAATATGAGAAGAGATGAGGATATGCTGGGGAAGAGACATACTAACATTGGGAGAAACAAGGAGGAGCCACCTGGTAATAGGTTTTTACCCTTTTATCTGGCACCAAAACTGACACCTTTATACAAGGGATCATGTTTGCAATAACCACAACACAAGCAGTCAAAATGCAAACAAAAAGAGACAACTCTGATAATGATATGCACTGTCCTTGAAATTGATTGGTCCACACCAGAGACGGCTTTTCTTAGAGCCTATTCTCCACTGGTGTGGGACCAGATGACGTCAAAAGGCGCACTATCAGAGTATTGAGAGCTCGGGGTAAGCATTTACATTATGAGACCTCCTTTGCCAGTATCAAGATATAGTAATAGGTTTTTATCTGGCTTGTGTTGTGGTTATTGCAAACATGATCCCTTGTATAAAGGTGTCAGTTTTGGTGCCAGAAAAAAAGGGTAACAACCTATTACTACATCTTGCTGCTGGCAAAGGAGGTTTCATAATGTAGGAGCCACCTGGTTGGGAGAAATTTGGCTAAAGCTCATGATGGTGATGATAAAGCATTCATACCTGAAATGAATGTCACCCAGATCCCCATGCCCCACGCAGTGGAGAGGGTCAGGAGGTACAGGAATTTCACCACAAAACCCGGCTCGCCCTCCATCGCCATTGTCGCATACACCTGTACACACCTGTACACACGCACAAAGACAAAGATCCCCCTATAACCTTCACACACTGTTGGGGCAAGTGCTGTTTAGCGAGCACCTTTGGTCGGCACGGGGGTGGGTGGCCAGCACCACGCCCGACCGCCTTTGTCTCCCCAGTTGCCATGTTTACACACCGCACCAGGTACTTATTTGAGGCTGAGTCAACCTAGTGGAGGCCCAAGACTGGTTCAGATAATCATCACTGGCGGTGTTGGCCGTGAGCGTGGATCGAACCTGTACACACACGCATGGCCAGCCACACCTGTACAACACAATACTGCTTCATTGCTGTATTGTTGTTATTGCTTTTGTAAATTTGGTGACCCAGGGACATCTTGCGAATGAGACAAACACACATCCCCTGGTCTCATCTCGTTAAACAAATTAAAACTTGCACAGTTGAACTGTGCACAATCGCACACACGTTAACATCTATATATACACACACCTACACCTGAAACATAACACAGACAAATATCCCCGTATATCCTCCCACACTTCAAGTGAAGGCTTCCAAGTGCACCTAGCCTGGCACACACGCCGTGGTGACTTCACGGCCACCCTGACGTCACCAAGTTGCAGTGTGTGCGTGTGTTAGGGTGGACGCGTGAGTGAACGTATTCGACTATTTCGAGTGTATCGGACTAATCAGAGTGTTTGTGTTGAACTATTTAGAGTGTATGTATAAAACTAATTAGAGTGTTTGCATTAGAGTGTATTAATTAAGTCGAATTAAGACGAATTAGAGTGTTTGTGTGAGCGAGCGCGAGTTTAACTCAACAGATCCAGCTCCTGGCGCTCGGGGTCAAAGTTCGAACCGAGAGGACCACCCAAGCGCGTGACGTCATGTCTCGCGGGGACACTCAGTGTCACCTCGGGGGTGCATGACGGCATGTCTCGCGGGGACACTCAGTGTCACCTCGGGGATGCGTGACGTCAAGTCTCGCGCGAACACTCAAGTCACGTCGGGGGTGCGTGACGTCATGTGCAACCGGCCTTGTCAACAGTGCCGTGGCAGTTTATTGGTGAACCTATTGTGGATTTCTCATTCTCCTGCCTCTCCCCTCTCATCTCACTCCACTCCCCTCCACGCACTCTCCTACCTCTCCCCTCTCATCTCACTCCACTCCCCTCCACGCACCCTCCTACCTCTCCCCTCTCATCTCACTCCACTCCCCTCCACGCACTCCCCCACCTCTCCCCTCTCATCTCACTCCACTCCCCTCCACGCACTCTCCTACCTCTCCCCTCTCATCTCACTCCACTCCCCTCCACGCACTCTCCTACCTCTCCCCTCTCATCTCACTCCACTCCCCTCCACGCACTCCCCCACCTCTCCCCTCTCATCTCACTCCACTCCCCTCCACGCACTCTCCTACCTCTCCCCTCTCATCTCACTCCACTCCCCCTCCACACACTCTCCTACCTCTCCCCTCTCATCTCACTCCACTCCCCCTCCACACACTCTCCTACCTCTCCCCTCTCATCTCACTCCACTCCCCCTCCACACACTCTCCTACCTCTCCCCTCTTATCTCACTCCACTCCCCTCCACACACTCTCCTACCTCTCCCCTCTCATCTCACTCCACTCCCCTCCACTCACTCTCCTGCCTCTCCCCTCTCATCTCACTCCACTCCCCTCCATGCACTCTCCTACCTCTCCCCTCTCATCTCACTCCACTCCCCTCCACGCACTCTCCTGCCTATCCCCTCTCATCTCACTCCACTCCCCTCCACTCACTCTCCTGCCTCTCCCCTCTCATCTCACTCCACTCCCCTCCACGCACTCTCCTACCTCTCCCCTCTCATCTCACTCCACTCCCCTCCAAGCACTCTCCTACCTCTCCCCTCTCATCTCACTCTACTCCCTTCCACGCACTCTCCTACCTCTCCCCTCTCATCTCACTACACTCCCCTCCACACACTCTCCTACCTCTCTCCTCTCATCTCACTCTACTCCCCTCCACGCACTCTCCTACCTCTCTCCTCTCATCTCACTCCACTCCCCTCCACGCACTCTCCTGCCTCTCTCCTCTCATCTCACTCCACTCCCCTCCACGCACTCTCCTACCTCTCCCCTCTCATCTCACTCTACTCCCCTCCACGCACTCTCCTACCTCTCCCCTCTCATCTCACTACACTCCCCTCCACACACTCTCCTACCTCTCCCCTCTCATCTCACTCTACTCCCCTCCACGCACTCTCCTACCTCTCTCCTCTCATCTCACTCTACTCCCCTCCACGCACTCTCCTGCCTCTCCCCTCTCATCTCACTCCACACACTCTCCTACCTCTCCCCTCTCATCTCACTCCACTCCCCTCCACGCGCTCTCCTACCTCTCCCCTCTCATCTCACTCCACTCCCCTCCACACACTCTCCTACCTCTCCCCTCCCATCTCACTCCACTCCCCTCCACGCACTCTCCTACCTCTCCCCTCTCATCTCACTACACTCCCCTCCACACACTCTCCTACCTCTCCCCTCTCATCTCACTCCACTCCCCTCCACGCACTCTCCTACCTCTCCCCTCTCATCTCGCTCCACTCCCCTCCACACACTCTCCTACCTCTCCCCTCTCATCTCACTCCACTCCCCTCCACGCACTCTCCTACCTCTCCCCTCTCATCTCACTCCACTCCCCTCCACGCACTCTCCTACCTCTCCCCTCTCATCTCACTCCACTCCCCTCCACGCACTTTCCTACCTCTCCCCTCTCATCTCACTCTACTCCCCTCCACGCACTCTCCTACCTCTCCCCTCTCATCTCACTCCACTCCCCTCCACGCACTTTCCTACCTCTCCCCTCTCATCTCACTCTACTCCCCTCCACGCACTCTCCTACCTCTCCCACCTCTCCCCTCTCATCTCACTCTACTCCCCTCCACGCACTCTCCTGCCTCTCCCCTCTCATCTCACTCCACTCCCCTCCACACACTCTCCTACCTCTCCCCTCTCATCTCACTCCACTCCCCTCCACGCGCTCTCCTACCTCTCCCCTCTCATCTCACTCCACTCCCCTCCACGCACTCTCCTACCTCTCCCCTCCCATCTCACTCTACTCCCCTCCACGCACTCTCCTACCTCTCCCCTCTCATCTCACTACACTCCCCTCCACACACTCTCCTACCTCTCCCTCTCATCTCACTCCACTCCCCTCCACGCACTCTCCTACCTCTCCTCTCTCATCTCGCTCCACTCCCCTCCACACACTCTCCTACCTCTCCCCTCTCATCTCACTCCACTCCCCTCCACGCACTCTCCTACCTCTCCCCTCTCATCTCACTCCACTCCCCTCCACGCACTCTCCTACCTCTCTCCTCTCATCTCACTCCACTCCCCTCCACGCACTTTCCTACCTCTCCCCTCTCATCTCACTCTACTCCCCTCCACGCACTCTAATACCTATCCCCTCTCATCTCACTCCACTCCCCCTCCACGCACTCTCCTACCTCTCCCCTCTCATCTCACTCCACTCCCCTCCACGCACTCTCTGCTCCAGCAACCAAGGCTTTCTGTCATGGATGGGGTGGTCGCTCATTCTCCTCTGCTGCCCCCACTGTCTGGGACTCCCTGCCCCTGCTCAAGCCCCTGCCCCAGCATTAATGAATGACTTCCTCTGCCTAATGAGTACATCACCACATGTCCACATCACGTGGTGATGCTGCTGCGTTGACGGTGGCAGTGTCCAAGCACAAACAACAACACGTAACATTCGTCAATAACACCACGAAAAACAAATATATAATAGGCGACGTTTCGGGGACTAGCCCTTCTTCGTAGCGTATACATTTATGAAGGGCCGTTGCCCGAAACGTCACTGATCCCGAGCTCACCGTTTGCGTCACGGCGGGGTGTGTGTGACGTCAGGGCGGGGTGTGTGTGACGTCAGGGCGGGGTGTGTGTGACGTCACGGAAGCCCCACCCCCTCCGACGTCATCAGGTGGCAAGTTCCATGCGGCAGCAGAATCATCGTCATTGTCGTCATTATTTTACATTCAGCAGTGAATACAACAGTGTCAACACACGTATCCCTCAATAATGATAACATGACAATCAACACAAGTGACCAAATAATTAACATTTTAAATAAGGGACCGTCCATAAATGACGTCACGCACCTAGGAGGGGGGTCAGACAGTTGTGACGATGTGTGACGAGGGGGGTGGGGTAGAGCTTTGTGACGTCATATTTGAGGGGGTCTGACTGTTTGTGAGGTCATAAAATCGTCCAAAATCGCGTGACGTCATTTGTGTACGACCCCGAATAACAAATAAAATCAACTTCCGGGGTCAACGCCATCCAGTTCCGGGGCACTTCCGCGATCTGCGTGACAGCAGCAGCAGCAGCGGGGAGAGAAGCAGCAGAGAGAGAAGCAGCAGAGAGAAGCAGCAGAGAGAGAGAAGCAGGGAGAGAGAGAAGCAGGGAGAAGCAGCAGAGAGAGAAGCAGGGAGAAGCAGCAGAGAGAGAAGCAGGTAGAGAGAAGCAGGGGGAGAAGCAGAGAGAGAGCGGCAGGGAGTCGCAGACAGAGCAGCAGAGAGGGAGACATCTGAAGCAGCAGCAGCAGAATCGGCATCAGCAAGAGGATAACCAGCATCTGAAGCTATAGAAGACTCAACATCATCAACAGCAGCGGCAGCAGCAGCAGCAGGAACAGCTGAACAAGGCGAGCAGCAGGAAGAGCACCCCGAGAGACGAGAAGGAAACAAGAAGCAGCAGCCCAAGCCAAGGACGCCGGCAAGAGGAGGAGGCAGCTGCAGCAGCAGCAGCAGCAGAAGCAGCAGCCCAAGCCACAGGCAGTAGCAGCAGGTCACGCGAGGTGAGGTGCTGCTGCTGCTGCTGCTCCCCCTGCTGCTTGTGTCGCTATCGGAGTCCAGCAGCTGCTGCTGCTGTTGTTGTTGCTGCTTCCACAGATTCTGCTGCTGCTGTTGTTGTTGCTGCTTCCACAGATTCTGCTGCTGCTGTTGTTGCTGCTTCAACAGATTCTGCTGCTGCTGTTGTTGTTACTGCTTCAACATATTCTTCTGCTGCTGTTGTTGTTACTGCTTCAACATATTCTGCTGCTGCTGTTGTTGTTACTGCTTCAACATATTCTGCTGCTGCAGTTGTTGTTGCTGCTTCAACAGATTCTGCTGCTGCAGATGTTGTTGCTGCTGCTTCAACAGATTCTGCTGCTGCTGCTGTTGCTGCTTCAACAGATTATGCTGCTGCAGTTGCTGCTTCAACAGATTCTGCTGCTGTTGTTGTTACTGCTTCAACATATTCTGCTGCTGCAGTTGTTGTTGCTGCTTCAACAGATTCTGCTGCTGCAGATGTTGTTGCTGCTGCTTCAACAGATTCTGCTGCTGCTGCTGTTGCTGCTTCAACAGATTCTGCTGCTGCAGTTGCTGCTTCAACAGATTCTGCTGCTGCTGCAGTTGTTGTTACTGCTTCAACAGATTCTGCTGCTGCAGTTGTTGTTGTTACTGCTTCAACAGATTCTGCTGCTGCTGCAGTTGTTGTTGCTGCTTCAACAGATTCTGCTGCTGCTGTTGTTGTTGTTACTGCTTCAACAGATTCTGCTGCTGCTGCTGTTGTTGTTACTGCTTCAACAGATTCTGCTGCTGCTGCTGCAGTTGTTGCTGCTTCAACAGATTCTGCTGCTGCTGCAGTTGTTGCTGCTTCAACAGATTCTGCTGCTGCTGTTGTTGTTGTTACTGCTTCAACAGATTCTGCTGCTGCTGTTGTTGTTGTTGCTGCTTCAACAGATTCTGCTGCTGCTGTTGTTGTTGTTACTGCTTCAACAGATTCTGCTGCTGCTGCAGTTGTTGTTACTGCTTCAACAGATTCTGCTGCTGCTGCAGTTGTTGCTGCTTCAACAGATTCTGCTGCTGCTGTTGTTGTTGTTACTGCTTCAACAGATTCTGCTGCTGATGTTGTTGTTGTTGCTGCTTCAACAGATTCTGCTGCTGCTGCAGTTGTTGCTGCTTCAACAGATTCTGCTGCTGCTGTTGTTGTTGTTACTGCTTCAACAGATTCTGCTGCTGCTGCTGTTGTTGTTACTGCTTCAACAGATTCTGCTGCTGCTGCAGTTGTTGCTGCTTCAACAGATTCTGCTGCTGCTGCTGTTGTTGTTGCTGCTTCAACAGATTCTGCTGATGCTGCAGTTGTTGTTACTGCTTCAACAGATTCTGCTGCTGTAGTTGTTGTTGCTGCTTCAACAGATTCTGCTGCTGCTGTTGTTGTTACTGCTTCAACAGATTCTGCTGCTGCTGCAGTTGTTGTTACTGCTTCAACAGATTGCTGCTGCTGCAGTTGTTGCTGCTTCAACAGATTCTGCTGCTGCTGCAGTTGTTGCTGCTTCAACAGATTTTGCTGGTGCAGTTGTTGTTGTTAATGCTTCAACAGATTCTGCTGCTGCTGCTGTTGTTGTTGCTGCTTCAACAGATTCTGCTGCTGCAGTTGTTGTTACTGCTTCAACATATTCTGCTGCTGCTGCTGTTGTTGTTACTGCTTCAACAGATTCTGCTGCTGCTGCAGTTGTTGTTGCTGCTTCAACAGATTCTGCTGCTGCTGTTGTTGTTGTTACTGCTTCAACAGATTCTGCTGCTGCTGTTGTTGTTGTTGCTGCTTCAACAGATTCTGCTGCTGCTGTTGTTGTTGTTACTGCTTCAACAGATTCTGCTGCTGCTGCAGTTGTTGTTACTGCTTCAACAGATTCTGCTGCTGCTGCAGTTGTTGCTGCTTCAACAGATTCTGCTGCTGCTGTTGTTGTTGTTACTGCTTCAACAGATTCTGCTGCTGATGTTGTTGTTGCTGCTTCAACAGATTCTGCTGCTGCTGCAGTTGTTGCTGCTTCAACAGATTCTGCTGCTGCTGTTGTTGTTGTTACTGCTTCAACAGATTCTGCTGCTGCTGCTGTTGTTGTTACTGCTTCAACAGATTCTGCTGCTGCTGCAGTTGTTGCTGCTTCAACAGATTCTGCTGCTGCTGCTGTTGTTGTTGCTGCTTCAACAGATTCTGCTGATGCTGCAGTTGTTGTTACTGCTTCAACAGATTCTGCTGCTGCTGTAGTTGTTGTTGCTGCTTCAACAGATTCTGCTGCTACTGTAGTTGTTGTTGCTGCTATGGTTTTGTTGCTATGGTTGCTGCTCGAGTTGTTGGTAGCTTAAGCTGTTGTAGTTGCAGATACTTCTTAAATATTTGCTGATAAATAGCCGTGATTGCTGCTATGCTTATTATTATTGTTCTTAGAGCTGTTGTCGCCTTAGCCATTGCTACAACTGTTGTAGCTACAGCTGTCATTGCCTTTGCTTCTGCAGAGTTCTGCAACGGTCCCGATGTTCGTTTGCTATAGAAGTCGCTACTATACTTACTGCCATTGTATTATTTGTTTCAGCTATGGTTGATGTCGTTTGTACTGTTGTTGTTTGTTTGTTTGTTGAAGGAGCATGGAGAGCCGCTTCACGAAGGGCAAGTCGAGTCTGCTGGAGCGGAGTCTGGGTCGCGGTCGCTCCGAGGTGGCCCTCAGCGCCTTCGCTCTGCTCTTCTCCGAGATGGTGCAGTACAGCCAGGCACGGGTCTACTCCGTCAGTGAACTGCAGGTGATGGGCGACACGGGGACTCGCTCACCAGCCAACACCAACTCACCCCTACACTCACCTTGCTGCACCAACTCACCCCTACACTCACCTTGCTGCACCAACTCACCCCTACACTCGCCTTGCTACACCAACTTACCCCTACACTCGCCTTGCTACACCAACTAACCCCTACACTCACCAGCCAACACCAACTCACCCCTACACTCACCTTGCTACACCAACTCACCCTTACACTCACCTTGCTACACCAACTCACCCCTACACTCACCTTGCTGCACCAACTCACCCCTACACTCACCTTGCTGCACCAACTCACGTGCCACCTGCTTGCGGTGTAGGCGAGGCTGAGTGAGCTGGGCCGCCACGTGGGTGCGCGATCGCTGGACACACTGGTGCTGAGGGAGCGGCCAGGACGCAGGGACACGAGGCTCCTGGGGGCCCTGCTCTTCATTAAGGTGGACACCACCAGCACCATTGATACTGCCACCAGCATGACTGCCATTGACACTTCCACTTTTGACACTGCCACTATTAACATTTCCACCAGTGACACTGCTATTGATGATAATGGGCTGAGTGAACCCCCTAGCAGAATTTGAACTTGCAAGTAATAACGAGCATTTAATTCGTTGCACCGTAACACGTCCTGCGCATCCCCGACCTTGCTCACAAATGTCTCCCCATGGCCCTACTCATGACCTCTTTCCCCTCGACTGCCCCCGCAGGTGAACCTGTGGAAGGCTCTCTTCGGCAAGGAGGCAGACAAGCTGGAGCAGGCAAACGACGATGTGAAGACGTACTACATCATCGAGCGCGAGCCGCTCATCAACACCTTCATCTCGGTGCCGCGTGACAACAGCTCGCTGAACTGCGCGTCGTTCACGGCGGGCGTGGTAGAGGCGGCGCTGGCTCACTGCTGGGTTCCCCGCGCGCGTCACCGCCCACTGGCACAAGGGCACGACCCTCATGATCCGATTTGACGATGCCGTGGTGGCGCGCGACAGGGCCCTTGATACTCGCTGATGCGCAGGCGGGGAGGATTGGGGGAGGGGGTGTGGGTGGGGTTTCCCAAAGTTCAGTAGCTTTTATCCAACCCCAGTCTGCGTTTCCACATTTACCAAGCTTCTCCGTGATGTAGAGAGCACTGATTCAAAGTGCTCTCTGCGTCGTGTGGAACACACAATAGGCCCCTCGATGCTCATTGACGCCCATGATAGCAGTGAGTGGAGATGGGGCGGTGCCTCGACAGCAGTGGGGGGAGTACGGCGTTTTTCTTTTCCAAAGTTTAATTTTTGCAACTGAACAACAGTCCGCCCTTCCACATTTACCAATCTGCTGCAAAATTATGTGGAGTGTTGATTAAACGTAAGCACTCTTTACGACGTGTTGAGCTTATTTTACCAATCATGAGGTGTGTGTGTCGTGTGTATTGATTTGCATTTGAGCGGAAAATATTGATAAACATATAGAGGGCCGATCTCCCTTTCCACATTTACCAAAATTCTCCATCTGGTAGAGTGCCGATTGAAATTAGGCACAGCATCCAACGGCATGTAAAGACTTGGTTTGTTGGAACAGACAACATTGTACAAAGATGGACTGGTTGGTTGTAATGACTGAAGTTTGAAATCCCTTAGGGTAGGGTGATGAGTGAGCTCGGATAAAATGGAAAGCGGATGAATGGGAAAAGGAGGTGAATAGGTAGGAGAGGGGAGGTGTGGGGAGAGGAGAGGGGTTGGCTGGAGAGAAAATGTGGGAAGAGGGAGATTGATTGTTGCAGGATACATGGAGCTAAGCGGGGATGAGTGGTGGTGACCGGTACCGAGTGGGAATGATTGGATTGAGGTCATGACCTCTTACCATGACCAACTGTGACCTCACACATGACCTGCCCCCCCTCCCTCCCGTCCATGATCTCTCACCCGAATCCGCTGTGACCTCCGTCCTGAACCACCTCAACTGCTCGCCTGTATCTGGTTGGGTTTATTGGGGGTATTAACCAGCGTCTCCTCTGTCTCCCGCTCACTCACCTCCTCATGGCCTGCGATTGTGTTCATTAAAGAGGGATGATAACCGATGAGGTTTACCGCGTATTGTGAAAGTGTGGGGCACCTGACCAAATATTGAACGAAAATTTATTTATGGAAACACTTGTGTACATTGGTGTATGTAGTGCATTCCTATGATGTGTCTTAGTATGTGTGTCTAAGTGGGGAGCGGTAGTATCGTGGTTAGTGCGCTGCCCTACGAATCCGGCGACCCGGATGCCATTCCCGCTCAGCCAACACCAAGTGACGATTGTCTGAACCTGTCCTGGGCCTCCCCGAGGTCGACTCAGCCTCAAATGAGTACCTGGTGCGGTGTGTAAACATCACCACTAGGGAGTGGTGCTGGCCACGCATCCCCTCATGCCGTGCTAGCCTTCAAGGTGCTCGCGTACAGCACTTGACTCAAATATCTGTTAAGGCTATATGGGAGGGATCTTCATTTGTTTTCTTAGTAGCTACCAGTGTGTATTTTATGCAGGGGTGCGTCTGTGTATGTGTTTGTATAATAATAATAATATAGATAATATGGTCGTGGTGATGCAAGCCTCTTCTGAATGCTGTCTGGATCTGTGTTGTGGGGGGGGGGAGGGGGGCGGTGGTAGTAACAGCGTTGATCGCGATGTTGTTTATTCCGATGGTGATGATGGTCTTGTCTCTATGCCTCCTGGAGCCTTGACTCGAGGTTGAGCTGTGAGAGGAGGAGTTTCTCCAGCTCCAGGAACTCATCGTATGTGCGTCGCTCCAGTTCATCCTGCTGCTGTTGCTCCAGCTCCCTCGCCTCCGTAGCCACCTGCACATCACAAATACAAAGTTCGCCTGTGTAGCCTCCGTAGTTTCTTGGGGCACCTGCTGTTAGCGATCACCGTTGAAAGCCAACATGGGCGTGTTGTGTTAAATTACACGTTTGACCACCTTTGTCTCCCCAGCGATGATGTTTACACCTCACACTGGGTGAATAATACAGGGAGGGGATCAGGACCTGTTCAGATATTCGCTACTGATGTTGGTCATCAGTGGAAAATGAACTCTGATCGCTCGGGTTTGTAAGGTAGTGCACGAACCACTGCATCACCATGCCCCACCTGCACCTCACATACATATATATCCATACAGATACAGACATAAACACGTACACAATACATGCATCAAAGAGATGGAATTAGTATTTCTTTTTATTCAGAATTTGTATGTTTTAAGCCTAATTTTGGATATTCATGGAATTATCTGATAATTATAACTTACATGTGTAGGCATGCAATTAAACAGTACATTACTTGATAATACGCTTCCAAGTAGCACTAAGTCGGCAGCTATTTAGTCTTGGCCGGTCGTAACTAGTTTTGCACAAAGCCTCAACATCATCAACATCGAGTGCCCTTGTTGGCACGTGGGTTCTGCAACTGCCAACAGTTGTTTGGGAGTATTTCATATTTTGGCGTTCTTTTACCCGCATGCCGATCATTTGTCCTGTCTGACCAACAGACGGGTAATATATCTTTATTCCCAGTAATTAGTCCTGGATGACACAGATATAATAGACACAAAGCTACACAAAGATGGACCCTCCAACCATCTCCCTCACCTGTTCATCATGTCTCATCTCCTCACCCTCGCCCTGTCTCTCTCACCTGCTGCTTGTCTTCGCCCTGTCCCTTCTGTTGTCTCCGTTGTCCCTGTTGCTGCTGCTGCTCCGCTTTTTGCTGCTGCTTCTCGCGTTCCCGCTGCTGTTGCCGCTGCAGAGTGAACTCCAACCGGTCCCGCTCGCGATCCAGGTAGGCGAGCATGGCGGAGACCTGGCAGCGGCAGGGGAGAGAGCTGGTGCTGGTTTCGTGCTTCGGGGATGGTGTTCGTGCTATTGTTAGAAATTGGTATTCGTGCTGCTGCTCTGGTTAACGTTATCACTGGTTAATGGTGTTGCTTACACCGATTTTTGTACTGTGCTTTAATAGTGCTGCTGGCAATGATGCTGGTGATTTTGATGGTGCTAAGCATTCACGTTGGTCATACGATTAATGTCGGGGCTACAGCTTGTGTTGACATTAATGCCTGTGCTTGTCATGGCGTTGATGCTCGTGTTCATTTTAGTATTAGTGTTGGTACAGCTGTCGGTGTTAATGCTGGTGGCACTGCTGCTGATGGCGCTGCTGTCACCTCGGAGGCGGCACCGTGCCGTAGGGCGCGCGGCACCTCCAGTATGTGCAGCGTGCCCAGCTCGTCGCCCACGGCCAGCAGCTGCCGGCGTTCTATGGCACAAAGGCAACATCAACAACTACGAAAATATCGATTACTAACAAATGCTAACATCAACAACAACTGAAACACAATTATCACGGACAACAATTGCTCAAATCAACGACGAAAATCACATTTACCACCACAGCACTGCCTGCGCATGCAGGGGATGCATGTGGCACCTTCTATTAGTACGGTTGGCTACATACGCTGCGAAAGAAGCTCAACATACTTGCATATGTGGCCCCAAATCCCCCTTTGTCTCCATATCCAACCGTCTCCCCGTGTGCATATACAGTGTGTGAGTGTTTGCGGGGCGATGGACGTGGTGCTGATCGGTGGCACCACCTGTGAGTGCAGCGGTACATGTGTCCCCTCCTGTCTCCCCGGTGTGAATGTGCGAGTGCTGTCCTCTGTGTCCGCCCCGTGCGTACGTGCGAGTGCCCGCGGAGTGATGAACGTGAGGCTGGCCGGTGACACAGCCTGCGTGTGGAGCGGCGCGTGTGTGCGGTCCAGGAGGTCCCACGCCTCCAGTGCACCGTCGGCTCGTGCTAGGAACACGAGAGCGGCGCGGGACGGGGACCAGCACCCGGCCGTGTAGCCCCGGCGTGCCCCGCCCCCAGGGCCAGCGTTGGTGGCGCCAGCAGTGGTGTTGGCGGTGGCGGCAGCAGTTCCACCGCCACCGTGCAGCAGGAGCAGTAGAGGGGGTTCTCCCTGCACTCACGGACAGAAGGAAAAATCTGAAGTGCAAGCAGATGCAGCACTAAGAGCAGCAGCAGTAGCACCACTACAAACACCAGAAGCAGCAGCAAGAACAATACAAACAGTATTGGCAGCATTGGTACTATCAAACAGCATCTGCAGTAGCAGCACCACATCCAACACTATTATCACCACTACCACCAGCACCAGCATGTATGTATGTTGAACTTCTTTCGCACCGTATATAGCCAACCATGCTAATCGGAGGTGCCATCACCAACATTATCATCACCATTATCACGAGCACGACTGCCACCAACATCATCATCATCACCTCTGCCGTCACATCCCCCGCTCACCGTGCCGCCCTCCTTCCACAAAGCGAATGAGTCGTCGTCGGCTGTGAGCAGCACGCCCGGCAGCAGCGGCGACGCTTGCACCGTGTGCACTGGCCCCGCGTGCACCACACTCACAGCCAGGGGCTTCGTGCCTGTGGCCCGGGGTCAAGGTCAGAGAGCACAGAGTCAAGGTCAGAGTCACAATGCCAAGGTTGGAGCCATGGGGATATGGGCACTTTGGGACAGGACGCCACACTAAAGGCCACCGCTGTCACCATTCCCACCACGACTTGTACCACCAATGCTACCAGCACTACCACCATGATCACCATCTCAGCCACCATTACTACCACTGCTTACCGCCATTGTTATCAGCACCACAACCAGTACCAGCAGCACTTACTGGAGAGCTTTCCAGAGTCATTGTCCTTCTCTGGGCGCCAGTCAGTGCAGACCAACTCCCCATCCTAGGAGCATAGACACACGGGAACAAAGAAAAATAGCGCACCATGTAACCTATAGAGACTGTTGGGGCAAGTACTTTTTTGTGAACATCTATTGAGGCCGGCACGGCACACAAGGGACTGGTGTGGCCAGCTTCATACACAGATGCCGTTCGTCGCCCCCAGTGCCAATGTTTATATACTGCACGAGGCACTCATTTAAGGCTGAGTCGACCCAGCGGAGGCCACGAACAGGTTCAGATATCCCTCACCCCCGATGTTATCTGCGGCTGGGAATCCAACTTGGGGCGCTGGATTTGTAGCTCAGTAATTAACCAATGCAACACTGCTTGCTACACACACATATTCGTGTGTGCACAAGCATGTAGATGTCATGGTCTGCAGGTGATGAGATGCGTATGTCATGTGTAGGCCGTATGTATGTGGTGTGTGGGACTTGTATATGGCATCTATGTGATGGGTCTATCGCTTGGGTATGCCATGTGTGTGTTATGTGGCATGTAGTGTGTAGATAGTATGTGGGAAGTGTGTGTGCGTTGTGTAGGTAACACGTGTGTGGCATGCTGGTAGTGTGTATGTGGTTTGTGAGTAGCATGAGCATAACATGTATGTGATTTGTCTTTAGCCTAGGTGTGGCATGACGTAATGTATGTAAAGTGTGTGTACCGTGTGGCGTGCGTATTTGCCATATAGGTCATGTGTATGACGTGTAGGCAGCGTGTGCATGTTGCATGTAGGCAGCGTGTGCATGTTTCATGTAGGCAGCGTGCCTGCGTGCCCACTAGCAGACGCGTGCTGACTGTGTCCAGGGCTTGTGGCTGCTTGGCGGAGGCCACTCTGTGCATCGCCCCATACCCAGGGACGTCCCCTCGCTGGGTCCCCACACCTCCCCGCTCTGGGTCGGGGTAAGGGGGTTAAGGGCTTGTGTTTATCAATCATTCAGGCTGAATTTATATAGCGTACTTTACATCAACAATTCAGGCATCTCAGACCACTTTACAAAAACGAAGTATATACATGAATGACCAACGTAAGAATATATCAGTTTAAATTAAAACAGAGGTGTAACCTAGGTGATGTCATTTAAGACGAATAAAAGCTAATATAATGAGAATGATAGATAATACATGTGATTGTAACGTAGATCCCTTTATAAATGCACTGATAGATGAAGACCTGTCTACAACTTTCAGTCATGACATTGTTTTAACATACAGTACTTCACAATGCTATATAGTAACAAGACTAGTGATATCATCAGGGATTGTGATAGGATCAGGGCTAGTGTTAGTATCAGGGCTAGTGATAGGGTGAGGGATAGTGATAGGGTCAGGGATAGAGATAGGGTCAGGGCTAGTGTTCGTATCAGGGCTAGTGATAGTATCAGGGCAGTGTTAGTATCAGGGCTAGTGATAGGATCAGGGCTAGTGATAGGGTCAGAGCTAGTGTTAGTATCAGAGCTAGTTATAGCATCAGAGCTAGTTAGTGTCAGAGCTAGTGATAGGGTGAGGGCTAGTGATAGGGTCTGGGATAGAGATAGGGTGAGAGCTAGTGTTAGTATCAGGGCTAGTGATAGTGTTAGAGATAGTGTTAGTATCAGGGCTAGTGATAGTGTTAGAGCTAGTGTTAGTATCAGGGCTAGTGATAGTGTTAGAGCTAGTGTTAGTATCAGGGCTAGTGATAGGGTGAGAGATAGTGATAGTGTGAGGGCTAGTGATAGGGTGAGGGCTAGTGGCTAGGACTGACCGTGGGAGGGCTCTGGGAGGCTGCGCTCCTGCAGGATGCAGCACACGGGGTTGTACTCCCCACCCGACTCCAGCCTCGGCAGGGTCACCTGTAGGCAGCATAGTACAGCACAACACGAGCACAACACAAGCATCATACACAGCAGCATACACAGCAGCAGCATGTCACAGTGTACAGCTCACACAGCACGTAATACACAGCACACACATCACACACACATCACACACACAGCACATACACAGAACATAGCATGTTAACCAGCAATGGCAAACTGACGTCTCCCAAGCTGCATGCGGCTATTTAATCCACCACATGCGGCTCTATCGAAGGGGCATAACATAGAACGTGCGATCACGGTAGCAAAGAATAATGAATGTTTCCTGTGCTGTGCCGAAAACTGTCAGTATATACATATATACATAATCTTGATTTGAAGCTTTCGTGACTGCAGGACTCCATACATGATGGACGCTTGTGTTGCGCCCGAAACGTCGTGATTTATTTTATTTTATACCTACGCGACTTTACTGAAAGAACCAAAGAGTTATATATACACATCGTTATATATCCACTTGGTTCTTTGCAGAACTCATTAGGTACTTGTTGGCTCTTGGTCTATTACAAGTTGGCCACCCCTGATGTAGACACCATACACACACGTTTATAAACAACACACAATTCACAGAGCACACATACATAACACACACACACACACACTGAAATCAATGGGGATCCATGGACAATCCCTTGGCTGTAAAATGATCATACAATGGAATTACATTTATTTTAATGGAAATCCAATAATCTGCATTGAAATCAATTGGAATTCTTCCGACGATAGAGATGCAGGAATTCCCATTAAAATGAATAGGATTGCACTTCTTTTTGGTTCTTTCAGTAAAGTCACGTAGAAGGGAAATAATAAAATAATAAAAATAAAACATAATTAAATAATTCTCACGACGTTTCGGCCACAACGCAAGCAGCCGTCCTCAGGTGAAGAATAGGACTGTCGGAAAGACAGCGTCTGACAGACCTGGTCTTCACCTGAAGACGGCTGCTTGCGTTGTGGCCGAAACGTCGTGAGAATTATTTTATTATGTTTTCGTTTTATTATTTTATTATTTCCCTTCTACGTGACTTTACCGAAGGAACCAAGATGAATCCCTGCAGTCACGAAATCTTTAAATCGAAGGAATGCGCTTGTTTACCCAGGAAATCCTCACCGAGTCTCAAGACTATTTGTTTAGAAAGGTCCTGTCAACTGGATCCGAGTGTCCTGTATTCATGAGACAATTCCTGGATGGGTTCTGGGTTCTAGCGGCGATTCTTTGAATTGCCATGAGACGGCACAGTAACCCGTCAGAATATCATCACAGCTCATGGAGATGTTATTATGGGAATCACTCTCAGAAGTCACGATTTCTGCAAGGAATTGCCGACGGTGGAATTATGTAACACAAATACAATTCTTGTAGAAATTGACCAGCAATTCTGTACAATCAACAAGAACCAGCATGTGCGACTAAGTGGTGGTGACATCAAACTGCATTTGTGCCAGAATAGGTGCACTTTGATGTAATGTGAAGTATCGAAGGCTTACTGGAAGGAGTTCACGGGACATACTCATGTGTTAAAAGTTAACTAAGATGACTGGCACCACCTGTGCTGTCCATCATGCGAAGTTTGCACAGTTGGGACGAGCATACACACATTCCGCACATGCATGAGTGTTGGGGTAAGGCCCTCTCCCAGGGACCTCCCCATGCACCCCTTTGGGAGTTGGGTGTGACCTTAAGGAGAGGTCTCCAGGTGAGGTTCAGGTGTTTGAAGGTGGTGGGGACCCCACTGGGATCGTCGATCTGTCGATGCTCTGAGCGTTTCTTGTCGCCGGGCCCGGGTGGCGCTGCTCTGCCCGGACGCACGTCCCACATGAGGATGGAGCTGAGTGCCCGCACACACACACAACAAAGACAAACCTATAGCCTCACCAGACTATTGGGACAAGTGCTGTTAGCGAGTACATATGAAGGCTAACAGGGCACACACACACGGCTGCTGAGCCTAGCACCACGCCCGGCTGCCTTTGTCTCCCCACAGTGGTGATGTTTAACACACCACTCCAGATACTAATTTATGGCCGAGTAAACCTAGGGGAGGCCCAGAACTGGTTCAGATATTTGCCACTGACGTTGGCCATGGATGGGAATCGAACTTGACTCACCATGTTCGTTATATGGTGCTCTAACCACTACATTACCGCACTTCAACAAAAAAACACATCATCACACACAAATCAAAGCAAACCCATGTCGGCTTTCAAAGACTATTGAAGCAAGTGTTGGGTGACAGCGCCTACTAAGAGGCCTGCATGGCATCAGCTGTAAGCGGGAGCAGTAGTAACATCAAAAACATTCACATCCGCAAGAATATTCATTGTAGACGCAGCATTGAGCAGCAGCATCACCATTAACATCAGCAACAGAGGCAGCAGTGACAACAGCAGCAGTAGCAGCAATATTCGGAGAAACAACGGCAGCAACAACAGAAAAGAGCAGGATTAGCTGCCAGCTGTTACTGTTGGAGATGGCGCGGGGGGATCGCCGTACCAGTCTGTGGCACTCGTGAGCAGCTGTAGGCACATCCGACTCTCGTTCTCCACAGCAGCACCCGCCCGCGTCACCTACCCACGGGGGAATCCATAACACGTGCAGCATCAGCATCTGCATGCCTCGAGATCCTCCCCGCCGCTTGCTGCTCCTGATGCCAGGCAAAGTCTCATGGGCCTGGTGCCCTCTGTACATTCGAGTACCTCTGAGTTTAAGCCCAAAGAGAATCGTCTAGCAAGAGAGAACTGGGTGTCAGTATTACTGCGATTGCTATATTGTTAGTGCGAAACTACTACCCGTGCTACTAGTGTGAATACAAGTGCTACTGTTAATAGATACAATAATTCGTTGCCCAAATGAGCATTAAGCCTGTGCACAGCTCCTAATTACAACCTGAACCAGTGGTGGAAATTCAATACTAAATTTCTATGGGAGGGGTGAATCTATATGAAGGGCAACCATTGCTGACTGCCCCACGATGGACTGGTACGCATTTTAATGATCCCAGAGGGACGATGGACTAAGTCAACCCTCAATCAGAATCTGAACTCGCAACCTTCCGATTGCAAGCTGCTCACTCTACCACGGAGGCACTTGCTCGGATGTTAGCGTGAATTCCAGTTATAAAATGCTTGTGCTCATGCTAGTGATTTTCAATATGTAGTTTCAGCACGAGCGCTGCAGCGGTAGGTGCCGTGACCTCAAAGTGCGCCGGCAGCCACTGCACGTGCGAGACGGGCGCTCTGTGTCCGTGCTCAATGGCGGAGACGGCGCACCAGCGCAGGCGGATGTCCTCCACAGACGCCTCGTCCTCCTCAAACGAGCGCTGAGGACACGGGGACACGGGGATGTGAACACAAGGGAACTTAAGGACATAGAGACGCAGAGATGGGAGGGAACTGCTTTTTGTGTTTAGTTTCTTTGTCCTTCCCCCGCACTTCCGATTAGCACATACATAGGTACACAGAGACTGAGAGAAACAGGCATAGAATGGGATAGAGGCATGACAATTTGGAGACAAGGACACATACATGAGGCGATAGAGCCATAGAGGCACAAGCACATGATAACATGGAGACAACAAGATGTGGGGACAAGGATACATGGATATACAATATATAACCACGAGGATTCGGATACATGGTGACACGCAGACATGGAGACAAAGAGATGCAGATATACAAGGAAAACATAGAGCTATAGAGACATGGTGTTATAAATACAAGGGAACATGGATATATTTGGAGATACAGTACAAAGAAATATAGAGACACAAAGACATAGGAAAATGTGGATAAAAGGATATAGGGAGATAGAGACATGGGGACATGATACCAAGACACACAGACATCAAGACACACGGACACGGAGACACAGGGTCACAAAAGTGACAGAGACGGTGTCTTTAGATGAGATGTGGTGAGGTGTGGTGTGATCGGGGTTATTGTGGTGAAGTGTGCTACAATGTGGTGGGACCTGGTGGGTTTTGGTGTCATTCTCGGATATCTGGCGGCGTTGTGCGGTGAGATTACGTAGTGTGGTGTAATGGAACCCAGTATGTTGTGTTGAGTCGCGTGGCGAGGATTGGGTGGTGTGGCCCAGAGTGGTGAGGTGACCTGTGGTGTGGTAGGAGCCCTCTCACCCGTGCTCCTCTGGTGAGCCCGTTCTGGTGTCCGCCCGTCCGGCCAAGCTGTAGTTTTTCCACGTGCTCCGAGATATCCCACAGCACCACCTGCCATAATGGGAAGCGTCAGCCAGCGCCTTGCAAAAAAAACACAGAGTGATGTGGGTGGCGTGGTTTGGTGGAAGTGGTGTGTGTGGTCAGTGCCGGGGGGCTATGGTGGTGTGGTCAAGGAGGTGTGGTTGTGTGATTGGATTGGTCAGAGTAATATTCTTGAAGCGGGGTGGTGGAGGTGGTGTGGTGTGTTCACAGTGGTATACCCATAGTGAGATAGTCTGAGTGGGGTGGCCACAACGGCTACTACGAGGATGTGGACAGGTGGTGTGGACGGAGCGGTGTGGCGAGATCCACGTCACCTGTCCATTGAAGCAACCCCCAGCGATGATGTTGGAGTCAGTGGGAGAGAACTGGAAACTGAGGATGTCCTCTGGTGCTTCCAGAAGTAGCTGCACTCGGAGGTAAAAACCACAACATCACACATGGTCACACATTAATACATACCATCATACACCCCATCACTTAGCAACATACACACACACACATCCAAAAACAAACGAAAAAATAACAAATCACCCCAACACGCATTGTCACACACCAACACACCTAATCACACACTCATGCACACCATCACACACCGGTGCACATCAACACATGCCAGACCATACCATCACACACCGACACACACTATCGCACATTGAGATTAGTGTGAGTATTCGGGCTAGTGTAAGGGGTAATATCTTGCGAGGATTAGTGTTATGGACAGGGCATTTTTATATTTGGTGTTAGGATCAGTGTTTGGGCTATTGATAGTTTTTGGGTAAAATTGAGTGCTAATGTATATGTTAGGGTGAATGTTATTGGCACTGTTTATACTAGAATTAGTGTTAGGCTCATGGCTCGGTTAATGTCGGGAACAAAAATTTGGATAATGTTGCATTGAGTGTTTGGGTTAGTGTTTGGGTCAGGGCTATTGTGCTAGTGTTCAGGTCAGCGCAGTGGAAGTCAGGGCTGCTGTTAGCGTGAGGGTTCATGTCAGAGCTATGCTCACCTGGGGGTGAATGGGGTCCGTGAAGCTCCAGATGAGGAGCAAGGAGGGGCTCACGATGAGGTGTGAGGAGCGGTCAATCCTCTCGTCAAATGACGCTCGCTCCACCATTGACACACACACCACTCCTGGACCCACCAGCATCACCATCATCAGCACCATAAACAGAATAGCAGCATCATAATTAACATGTGTGTGCATGAACCAGGGACGTGCGGTCAGGGGAGGCAGGGGAGGCAGAGCCTCACCTGTCATACTCCAATGAAAATAGCTGTTACGAAAAGTAACAAAAAAGAATAATCAAATCAAATAAATATTAAGATTTTTCCACTGATCTGTGTTATAAATGTCATTTCTGTACGATTCCAATCATTTTTATAGTCAAAAATCACCAAATTTGCGGAGCTCCGCTTCAAATACAGGAAGAGATGAGACGTGAGGCAGCGACGAGCTCAGCCTCCCTTCTGATTGCGCAACCCCTCAGTAACTTTATGGAGCGCGGGCAATAAGCACTTGCCTGTTACTATCTCAGTATGTCACCAATTTAATGTTTGTAGACCCCTTTATTTCATGTCCTCGCCTTCCATACTCCAGGTAACTTATTTCACGTATGTGTATAAATATATTTATTTAATTTAGGCTCGCTGGTCTCGTCATGAAACTGCAATGAAAGAGCACCAGGGGAGGCAGCCATCACATCTGCCTCACTGAGGGGGACGTGTCTAACACGCCCCCCTCAGTGAAGACACGCCCCCTCCGTGAGGCCACGCCCCCCTCAGTGTGTGAATCTGGCTCTGACACTAAGCCAGTGCCTCCACAGCCATTGACTTCACCGCACGTCACTGGCATGAACATATGTGAATGAATGACTCTGGCCTGGGCCTTTACTAGATCAACTAAGTCTTAAATGAGAACCTCATGCAATATGTAAAAATCAGTCCAGGCCACACCTCCTCTTTGTGTGCCATCTCGGCCATAACGATGGACATGTTGGCCACAATAGGTTCCTGTTTACGGCAAGTTCACCAGCATTATATGTCGACTAAATGGAGGATCTTTGTGTTTTGAATGTGTGTGTGGGTTAGTGCGTGTGTATGTATACTTATGTTTGGGGAAGCGCTAGTAGAGCGCTGGCCAACTACCCTCCTGTATTCTTTGGGTATTTCTGTAAAGTCACGTAGATAGGTTCAAAGAAAATAACAAAAAACTACGACGTTTCGATCGCAACACAAGCGGTGATGATGACCGCTTGTGTTGCTATCGAAACGTCGTAGTTTTTGGTTATTTTCTTTGAACCTATCTACGTGACTTTACCGAAAGACCCAAAGAATATGAATTCCTGCAGTCACGAAAGCTTTAAGTCAAGATTTACCCTCCTGTATGTCATTTCCGGCCTTAATAGGTGCTTGCTAACAGCACTTTCCCCAACAGCCTATTGAAGGTTACATGGGAATCTTATTTTTACTTGTGTATAATTACGTGAGTTTGGGTGCGTGGGAGTATAGTGTGTGTGTTGAGTCTGGCAAAGCGAGTGGCGGTGCAGTGGTTACCACACACCTGCTATGAACCTGACCACTGACTTGCATCATTGGCGAATGACGTGTGAAACGATCCTGGGCCTCCCCTAGGTGCACTCAGCCGTACACGAGTGCCCGGTGTTTTCGAGTGGTCTTACCGGGCAGGCTGGGGTGCCAGTCCACGCAGGACACCGCACGCCCCTTGCCGCGCCTTAGGTCACTGAAACTCTGGTGCTCGCGGAACTGAGTGATGGCATGACCCCCGAACCCTGAGCCTTCCTCATCCACCAGCGCCGCCCACTCGTCCACAAATACGTTCGCGATGACGCCCTGCTGCAGGACCATCTCCATTCTACACACATCATCACCATCACCGTTGTCGCCGTCACCATTGTCATCATTAGCATTAGCAGCATTATCATCATCATCATCGAGTGCTGAAGCATCATCAGTGACAACAATGGCCTCATCGTGATCATCATCAACACCATTAGTAGCCACAACAGCAACACTCGTATCAGCAGCAATATCACCACCATCATTATCAATAGCAGCATCATCATCAGTGGTACCAGCAGTAGTTTCATCACTGCTTTCATATTCATCAATATCAGCAGCATCATTATCAACAACAGCAGCAGTACTTGCAGCATTAGTATCAGCAGCAACATCATAACCAGCAGCATCATCATCATCATCCTTGGCAACAGCTTCAGTATCATCACTGTCTTGCCAGTGCCAATGCACACTCTTTTAGGTACTCAGTTAAAGTCGATTCGACCTAAAGGAGGCCCAGGATAAGTTAAGAATCCACTCGGCACTAATGTTGTCCATGGCTAGGTATAAATGCAGGTTTCCAGGATCATAGTGGAATGTCTTCCTTCTACCTATGTCTCCCTTCTCCCTGTATCTCCCTTCTGCCCCTGTCTCACTTCTCCTTCCTCCCCTCTCCTTTCTCCTCTGCATGTAGTACCGAGGCAGTGCAGCGGATAGGAAGGTCTGCACGCTGCTGGAGGAGAGGAGGGTGGTTTGCTGCTCCTCAGACATTGTGCGTGGCTCACTTTGCGTGCAGGCATTACGTGGGTACCGCCTGTGAGAAACGGGAGAGATGGCAGGTGGATGAGTGAATGGCAGGTGGATGAATAAGTGAGTGTGTTCATGGTTTGGCTAAGTGTATGATTGAGTGAGTAGTTGGATGAGAGGGTGGGTTTGTGTATAGTTGAGTAAGTAAGTGGATGGGTGAGTGTTTGGGCGAGGTGTCTCTCACCAAGTAGTCTGGCTGCCCTGCTCACGAGTGAGCGGCACGGCCTGTGTGTCTGCGTCCACCTCCATCCGGCGCAGGGAGAATGTGGGGTCTTGACACGAGGCACAGTCGACCCCACGCATCCGCCCGGGCTCCGAATCCGAGAGTTTGAGGGGTGACCCGAACTCACGCCTCGGACGGCTCACACTGAACCGCAGCTGGGATACGGGGACACACAGGGACACAGGGACACGTGAAACACTGAAACATGGGGACACAGAGAAACATGCTGGTCTTTGCGAATTGGTCAAGGCGGGGAGCATAGATGTCGCATTACATTAGAGTATAACAATGGATTTTTTCTGCACTCCCCTGTGCTCCTCAAAACATAGCCAACAACACAAGTGAAATAAGGCTGGGGGGAAATACTAAAAAGCTGCACTGTTGTTGCTGTTCCATATTACAGCTGACCATTATGAGCATGCAAACTTGAAACTTGCAGTCCATGCATACTGCTAGGTCAGCAGCGAGCGCGCAGGCCATGAGGGCAGATATTAAGGGGACACTGCTAGCTGGGTAGTGAGTGCCATGAGGGTGGATGTTAACGGGAAACCGGTGGCTGGGAGGTGAGTGCACTGCTGTGAGGGTAGTAGTCAAGGGTACGCTGGCTAGGAAGGCTCCACCTGGGGCCGGGTTGGGAGAATGGCGGCTTCGTCGATGTCAGCGTCGCTGCCCAGGGAGATCCACGGACGCGACGATGGCGGGCGGTAGTCCAGCTTTCCCGCTGGGACCGACGGGGAGGAGGAGGGCTCATCGAGGGCCTGAGGTGGCTGTGATCACATTAACAATCATTAACATCGTCGCTGATTGCATCACCAACTATAGCAGCAGCACGATAATAAATGTTATATCAGTACTATCTTGAAGATCAGCAGCAGGAACACCAACGTCTTCATCATCTTAATAACCAGCAGCATTAATGTCACTATCACCATAATCAACATTGTCAACATGGTTATTATGATCATTGTGAAGATTACCATGATCAACACTATCATCAACATCATCACCAGTAGTAGAAGGCCGAATATCAACATCAACAGCATGATCATCACAAGCATCACCATATTAAATTACACTACTGTAGATCATTTATTGCCCCCGTATCCCCGTGTCTCTGTGGTATCATGTCCCCATACCCCAATAAGCCCATGTCTCCATGTACACATGCTCCCATATCCTTATGTCCCCATGCTACCATGTCTGGCGTACTTACATTTAAGATGTTCTCCTGGGCTTCCTTGGTCACGACAAGGTAAAATTTCTGTCCATAGCGAAAATCAGGGTCGTATCCGATCAGCAGCTCCTCACACTCAGAGTCCTGGGGCACAACAGTGGGTGAATTAGTAAGTGCGTGCATGAGTTAGAGAGTGCATGCATTTGTGAATGAGTGAATGTGAGAGTGATTAAGTGAATACATGACTGAGTAATGGAGTGAATGACTGAGTGAAAATTTTAATGAGGCAAATATTGGGTGGTTGGTTAAAGTGAGTGTTTAGGTTTTTCGAGGGGTGAGAGTTTGAGCGAGTTCGTGGATGAGTGCTTGAGTGAATGAGAGGGTGGGTGGGTAGGTGGGCGGGCGATTGTGTGAGCGAGTTATTCAGTGAGCTAATCAGTGAGCCAGTCAGTGAGTGAGCTAGTAAATGTGTAAGCTAGAGAGTAGACCGGCCGGCGCCCCCGTGTCCATGCCAGTACCAGCAGGGTCTGTCTGAAGGGGTGGAGGTCCGATGTGGCTCCACGCTGCCGCACGTCTGCGAGCAGCGTCTCTTTGGGAAGGAGGCGCACAGGCGCCGCCGCCGTCACGTCCTCGTCTGCACGCAGCCCCAGCAGCTCCTGAGATTGCGTTGACAGGAACAGGGGCAACACTCCTGCAGGGGCTGCACGCACATAGCACCGGAATAATTACACATAGCACACACATAGCACGGTACACACATACACGCAGTAAACACATACACGCACATATGTACCGGTTGTATGGTTATTTACTGCCCCTACACTACAACGGGTGATTCGTTAAATTGCTACGGATGCAGAAATCCATTCTTTTATTTAACCTGCGGGTAATGATAGTGCCTCTAGTGGCTTAAGGAGTCACGTGAACACATTACACAACGCAGGTGATCTTAAGCGTGTATCGTGAGCTTAAGAATGGATATCATCAACGTATCATTCCATTTCCTCATATATACACATTGCACATATTACACACAAAGCCTGTACACATTGCCATTCCGGAGCCAGGGTGTAAATTCCACATTGCCACAGTAGAGAATTGCCTCCATGAAACAGCTACTGTTGGCCTACAACAAATTGTGTGCTACCCCTGTGATCACTTTGGAAAGAATGAAGATGACACTTCGACGATTATTACTGATGTTTGATGATGAATCAACCCCCAAACAGGATTTGAACTTGTGACCCTCTGGTTGAGGCTTGAGACTCAGACCACAGTGCCAGCTGGCACTGATCATACACAGCCCTTATGTCAATACCCTGTTGGACAAAATGTCTCCCCATCGGGGGTTATTTAAACAAACTTTACCAAACCGATGAGTGTGAGTTGAAGAAGGTGGGGTTATGATTACAGAGGTGGCGGTGATTTTAATGGGGGTTATGATTTTAAAGATGGTGGTGCCGATGGGTTTGTAAGTGGTGGCCGTGCATGCAGGAAGGATGGAATTTGATGGGTGGAGCACCCGTGATGGTTGCTGTCACCCACCCGACTCCACAATCATATCCTCCTGGCCATGATGATCCTTGAGGTCTGAAACACGAAACATCTGCATCATTACCAATCATCGACATCACCGATCAATCAATGATCAAACAAATGTAGCAACAGCAGCATAATTGCAACACTCATCAGCAGCAACAGGTTTAGAATGCTGGTGTAGCTGATGATCCATACAATGCCTCGAATAACACTGCCTATCCAGGAAAACCTTACTGAGTCTTAAAACTCTTATTTCAGCAGGGTCCTGTATTGGAATGTTTGGCGAATAATACGAACGAGTGGCATGTGGGAGAAAGCCAAAATACCCAGAGGACACCCCTGATGCGAGCGATGGAATGAGAACCCCTGTCCAAATGCCCCCCTCTGTGCAGACCAGTGTCTGAGGCCCCTGTGGCCCATGAACCCCCAGTGCAGTTGCGCAACCACCTCTTCTTCTTGTTCGTCCATCAAAGTTGATGATGACCATGGCACGTTTGTCATTTTGTTGGGTTTTGATGAGTGCGCAGATGGCTGAAGAGGCCAATCCGAGCCCGGAATTCTCTGTGGCACACTGGACAGGTCAGGGAGGATGTAGAGCTCTAAGGTGCAGCCACACGTCCTTCCTTGGTAGATTTGCGCTGCTGCCTCTTCAAGATAGCACAGGAGCGTCTCCTACTCTCACAGAGGACTGCACCGTCCTGTACTTTTCTTCTCCAGGCAGGTCGGTCTAACCACCTGCACTCCCGATATCTATGCCACTGCCGTGGGCCCGCTCACCGGTGGAGGCCGTTGATCGCTGCGTGCCACGGCCCGTGGAACGCGCGGATGTGGAGCTGTCTTTGCTGCGAGGACGCTTGGGTTCTTTCCTGGCGGATCCTTTTTTGACCACGCCGTCCGGCTTCTCCTTGCGTATGCCTGGCATCCTGGAGCCCGAGGAAGCCTGTTTGAAGAGACGGTCACTTCATCTCCCATCGTCGCTAGCAGAGGCAAAATATTATGACACTCGTTATATTTATGAGAGTTGGTGAGGAAGCGAGTGAATATGCATGGCTGGATGAGTGAATTAATGAGTGGATGAGTGGGTCAGCGAACTATTGGATGAGTGAGTGCATGTGCGGGAGAATGAATTAATCAGTGGGTTAGGGAGCGGATGAGCCATGTGATGTGGGTGAACAAATGAATGAATGTGAGTGAGAGTGAACGAGTGGGTGAGTGATTAGGTGGGTAAATGATGAGTTTCTGCGTGGGGGTTGTGCATGGGTAGGTGAGTGAATGAATGTAGGAGTGGGTGGGTGCATAAATTAATGAGTATATGGGTGGGAGAGTGACTGAGCTAGTATCTATAGTTAGTAGGTAAGTGCGTGGGTGATTGAGTGAATGGATGAGTGGGTGGCTGAATGAGTCGGTGTGGATTCGTTCACTCAAATGAATGAATGTGCACACGTGATCGCCCGAGGCAACTCATGCACTCTACACACAAAACGCTGACCCCATCTATAGTATAACAATAATGCAGGTATAGTTATTCTACGTTTAAACGCAATTGGTTTCCCACTGCGTGTGCGCAGTCATCTCTTAATTACAGCTCTGAAGCAGAACCTTGTGGAAATCCCACATTGCCATGACAGGGGAGAGTCCATCCCAAGGATGATCGCTGAACAAAAAAGTATCGATATTGATTTACTAATATAAATGTATATCGAGCCCTTTACTCGTGAAGGCTGGGGGGGGGGGGGGTTTGCTGGACCATACTTCACCACGCTGGCCAGTGCGGATTGGTGAAAGGGCGACGGAGGGCAGGATACCACCACTCGCCACTGATGTTATCCGTTCTCCGGAATTCGATCTGAGGTGTTCTCCGGGATGACAGCGCGGTGCGCTAACCGCTGCGCCACCGCTCCACTAGTGGACGATTCCCACTGTTATAGTGCAGTACCTGAACACTGCACGGCAGTCGACGCGCGCTCAACAACAACAACAAAACTAAACAACACTTCAGCGTCGTTTCATTTAGACTTTACGACAAATAAACCGGAATTTGAGGAAGAATTTAAACTTTGTTTTGCCTTTTGCCGAGTCGCCTCGCCTTGGCGCGTGGGGCGCCGCTGCCTGGACACGGTTGCCGTGGCGACCTCCGCTGGAGTCGGAATCGATGTGGCGATAATCGCGATACAAATCTAGAATCGTGATTATTTACTGGGTACATTGATGAGATGATCTTAGAGCTATAATTATAATAATAGGGGGTTTTTCCCCCTTTTTTCTGGCAACAAAACTGAAGATTTGAAGCTTTCGTGACTGCAAGGATTCACACTCTTAGGTTTTTTCGGTAAAGTCACGTAGGTAAAAATAATAATGAAGTCAAAATAATTGATTTATTATTATTTTTATTTCTGTTATTATTTTTTACCTACGGGACTTTACCGAAAAAACCTAAGAGTAACAAAACTGAAACCTTTTTACGAGGAATCATGTGTGCATTCACCACAATACTTGTGGTCAAAATGCAAAAAAAAAAACCACTATGATAATAGATGCATTGTCCTTGAAACTGATTGGTCCACACCAGAGACAGCTTTCTTTTGAGCCTCGTCTCAATTGGTGCTACACCAGAGGACACCAAAAGGCGTACAGCTCAAAGACAATGCACTATCAAAGTAATGCGGGCTCGGGGTGAGCATCTACATCATTAGACCTCCTTTGCCAGTACCAAAATATACTAATAGGGTTATGTTGCCAGAAAAAAGGGGGAAACCCCTATTATTATATATTGATTCTGGCAAAGGAGGTCTAATGATGATCTCAGAGTTACTTTGGAGAATTTGAACGCGAATTCCATCCCCCCCGCCCCCACCACCACTATTTTGCTCCATCGGCATTTTCTGATCGGTTCAGTCATTGCAAAGGGGCTGTCCATAAATGACGTCACGCGATTTTGGACGATTTTTTGACCCCCCCCCCCCTCGTCATACGGCGTCACAAAAAGTCAGACCCCCCCCCCCTCAAATATGACGTCACAAAGCTCTGCCCCCCCCCCCCCCCACAAATAAAACATGCTTCAAATCGCTTTAAACTATTGTCATTGTAGTGCGTATTCAATGTGGCGCTGCACTCTGCTGTTGTAGGATAAAACATGTATTAAAAAGTCTATTTAATTAAATAGAACGTGTTGTCTTTAATTACTTAAAGTTGCGCATTTTGATGTGACGTCACATTTCCTAACCCCCCCCCCCCCCTCGTCACACATCGTCACAAATGTCTGACCCCCCCCCCCCCCCTAGGTGCGTGACGGCCCCAAATGGGATCAACAATCGGAATCGCTACAGGAGTTCTATAAATCGAAGAAAGCAAAAGCGTCAAAACGTCGCCGCTCCAACCACACCCAATAAACCCCATCCTCGTCGAGGCGATTCGATTCGGGAATCGCTTATGAACATTCCAATTCGTAACAACACCAAAGGGAATAGGGAATCGAGCGGCTCTGGAGAAGTGGCACGGGAATCGAATCGCAACTCGCGGGTGGGGGGGGGGCTCAGGTGTGGCAATGGGGCTGGCCGCTCGCAGGGAGGGCCCCACGTGGCTTTCGATGGGAGCCTCTCATCATCCACAATCGAGGTGTGCGTTTGGGTTTATATCGCGTAAATATATAAATGTGTCGTTGAAACCCGCCACCACTCGACACAGCCAATTTCGTAAGGTTTGTCACGTAAACGGAACGTGCCAATTCGTTGCAAGTACAGCACACCGGTGCGTTGGAGAGCAAATCCACAACATGTACAATTTGAGCCTCTCATCAATTTGCCATCGATGCGTTTGACAAAGCCAAGGTCAACGTTGATTTTGTTTTCCGGATGAGAACTCAAGAGAACCGGGATATAGTCTCATTTGCAAGAGTGACCTGGGTCACGCATATCAAAATCATGTATTTATCCTGGCGAAAACCGATGAGCTGTGAAGCTCTTTGTCGCAGATGATGAGGCGGTTTTCCACTCGGTCGACGTGAACCACGCAGTGCGCAAGCCAGTGCTGGTCTGCCCACAGTTTAGTGGTGGCATGCGTGGATATACTCATTTGTATGTATGTTGAACGTTTTTTTCTCACCGTACATAGCCAACCGTGCTAATCGGAGGTGCGGGGGGAGGACAACAAACTAAACACAAAACGCAGTTCTGAATTGAACTGAATTGAGCAATGTATACCAAATATTTATTTAATTTGCTATCCGATCATTCCCATGAGAAAAATAAGTGGTCTCTCGCTTCCCTCTTTTGTGAGATACGAGACCATGCCAATTTAATTGCACCTCCACAGCTTGGACATCACAATGTATCCTCCTTTTACGGAGATCAAAGAAGTGTATGTGTGGCCTTGTGTTCGACTCTGGGTGCGGAGCAGTTTGATGCTCACTATCATGAGCACCTGGAGTGGGAGGGTGTCTGGCGCATTTTGAGTCAACCTCAAGTTCTCATTGTTACATAGCTCTCAAGTGAAACTCCTGCCTGTGGTGCCAAGTTCATTTCAATTAAAACACTTTTTTTAAAACCACTGCAACGCATGCATTATAATAACACTCAATGTGTGGGGGGCGGGGCAAAGATGTTGGGGGCGGGGCAATGGAGGGGGGGGGGCAAGGGGTGGCGGCAAAGGGGGTGGGGCAATGGAGGGGGGTGGAACAAGGCGTGTGGGGCGGTGCAAGGGGGGGGGGCAAGATAGGGGCGGGGCAAAGGTGTGCGGGGGGGGGGTGGTGTGGGGGCGGGGCAAAGGTGTGTGGGGGGGGAAGGTGTGCGGGGGGGGGGGGAAGGTGTGGGGGCGGGGCAAAGATGTGGGGGGTGGGGCAATTGTGTGGGAGCGGGGCAAATATGGGAGGGGGGGGCATGGCGACTGTGTGGGGGCGGGGCAGATGTGTGTGGGGGGTGAAGGTACGAGGGCGGGGTAAAGGTGTGTGGGGTGGGGCAATTGTGTGGGAGCGGGGCAAGTGGGGGGTGGGAAAGGTGTGGGGGCGGGGCAAATATGGGAGGGGGGGGGCATGGCGACTGTGTGGGGGCGGGGCAAAGGTGTAGAGGGGGTGGCCTTAGACAGGAGCGAGGGGAGGGGCTATGAAGGGGGGGCTCAGTGGGGGGGGGGGCTATGAAGGGGGGGGGCTATGAAGGGGGGGCTATGAAGGGGGGGGGCTCAGTGGGGGGGGGGGGCTATGAAGGGGGGGGGGGCTCAGTGGGGGAGGGGCTATGAAGGGGGGGGCTCAGTGGGGGGGGGGGGGGCTATGAAGGGGGGGGGGCTCAGTGGGGGAGGGGCTATGAAGGGGGGGGCCCAGTGGGGGGGGGGGGGATAACCGAGAGTCGCCGTGGGTGGGAGTGGCGCGTCAGGCGAAGGGGGCAGCTCGAAGCGAGCGGACGCCGCGGGTTCTCGCTCTCTCGTTCTCTCTCGTTCTCAAGACAGAAGAGAGCACAGCCATAGAACAAGAACACCGGGAGAAATGACCGCGGAGTGTGCGTTCGCCGCCTCCACATAGCGACGACGCACGGAGGTGATCGTCGAGGACGAGGAGGAAGGCTGCCGCCCTGTACAGGTGAGAGGGACCCCCCCCCCCCGCACCTGGCGGGTGACGCAGCGGGGCCACGGCGCCCTGGATCCCGCGGGAGAAACACCGCCACCCCCCCCCCACGGGGTCTTTACTTTACACGGCGATCAGTGCACTGCGCTGCTAACTCGGTCGAGTGGAGACGTTTTGTGTTGTTGTTGTTGTGTTAATGCTCTCTGGGGGTGTTTCGTGCGAGGGTTTTGTTGTGTGAGTCACTGGCGTTGCCCCCCACCACCACCACGAACCCGGTCACCCACGCGTTGCCCCCCACCACCACCACCACCACGAACCTGGTCACCCACTCGTTGCCCCCCACCACCACCACCACCAACCCGGCCACCCACTCGTTGCCACCCCCCCCACCACCACCACCAACCCGGTCACCCACTCGTTGCCACCCCCCCACCACCACCACGAACCCGGTCACCCACGCGTTGCCCCCCACCACCACCACCACGAACCTGGTCACCCACTCGTTGCCCCCCACCACCACCACCACGAACCCGGCCACCCACCCGTTGCCCCCCACCACCACCACCAACCCGGTCACCCACGCGTTGCCCCCCACCACCACCACGAGCCCGGTCACCCACTCGTTGCCCCCCACCACCACCACCAACCCGGTCACCCACTCGTTGCCCCCCACCACCACCACCACGAACCCGGTCACCCACTCGTTGCCCCCCACCACCACCACGAGCCCGGTCACCCACTCGTTGCCCCCCACCACCACCACCACGAACCCGGCCACCCACCCGTTGCCCCCCACCACCACCACCAACCCGGTCACCCACGCGTTGCCCCCCACCACCACCACGAGCCCGGTCACCCACTCGTTGCCCCCCACCACCACCACCAACCCGGTCACCCACTCGTTGCCCCCCACCACCACACCACGAACCCGGTCACCCACTCGTTGCCCCCCACCACCACCACGAGCCCGGTCACCCACTCGTTGCCCCCCACCACCACCACGAACCCGTCACCCCACGCGTTGCCCCCCCACCACCACCACCACCACGAAACCCGGTCACCCACTCGTTGCCCCCACCACCACCACGAACCCGGTCACCACTCGTTGCCCCCCACCACCACCACGAACCCGGTCACCCACTCGTTGCCCCCCCCCCCACTACCACCACCACGAACCCGGTCACCCACGCGTTGCCCCCACCACCACCACCAACCCGGTCACCACGCGTTGCCCCCACCACCACCACGAACCCGGTCACCCACGCGTTGCCCCCACCACCACCACACGAACCCGGTCACCCACACGTGCCCCCCACCACCACCACCACCACGAACCCGGTCACCCACTCGTTGCCCCACCCCACACCACCACCACGAACCCGGTCACCCCCACCCGTTGCCCCCCACCACCACCACCACACCGAACCCGGTCACCCACTCGTTGCCCCCCCACCACCACCACCACGAACCCCGGTCACCCACCCGTTGCCCCCCACCACCACCACCACGAACCCGGTCACCCACTCGTTGCCCCCCACCACCACCACGAACCCGGTCACCCACTCGTTGCCCCCCCCCCACCACCACGAACCCGGTCACCCACTCGTTGCCCCCCCCCCCACCACCACGAACCCGGTGCCCCCCACCACCACCACGAACCCGGTCACCCACGCGTTGCCCCCCCCCACCACCACGAACCCGGTCACCCACTCGTTGCCCCCCCCCCCACCACCACGAACCCGGTGCCCCCCACCACCACCACGAACCCGGTCACCCGAGTTCCATCGGTGTCTTGGGTTTAGTTCCATCCCCGCTCACGGCCGACGCCGGTGACCATTACCCAAACCTGGTTCTGGACCTCCAACCTCGGGTCGACTCGGCCTCAAATGAGTACCTGGTGCTGTGTGTAGTAAACATCGCCACTGGGGAGACAAAGGCGGCCGGTCGTGGTGCTGTGTGTAGTAAACATCCGCCACTGGGGAGACAAAAGCGGCCGGGTGTGGTGCTGGCCACCCACCACCCCCCCTCCCTCGTGTGCCGTGATGGTCTTCATAGGTGCTGCTACTCGCTAACAGCACTTGCCCCAAAGAGTTTGTCAAGGCTATACGGGGTGGCTTTGTCTTTGTGTGTGTTCTGGCATGTTCTGCTGTGAGAGATTGTGTATGATTGTGTTGTATGATTGTGTCACGGTATGTGTGAGTTACATGGGGTGGTGTGAGTTACATGGGTTGTGATGGGGGTATGTTTGTCATGTGAGTTGGTGTGTGTGTGTGAGTCTGTGATGGTGAATTTCTGCGATGGTAGCGTAAAATTGTAAATCTCTTATTATGTAACCAGCTTCCTTATGTGCACCGTGTCTGTATTTGTGCTTTTGTTCATGCTTAGACCAAAAGTGTATGCGAGTTCCGTATATGTTTGTCTATGCTAGTACTTTTCGATTTAAAGCTTTCGTGACTGCAGGGATTCATCTTCTTGGTTCTTTCGGTAAAGTCACGTAGAAGGGAAGTAATAAAATAATAAAAATAAATAAGTGAAGACCAGGTCTGTCGGGGAGACAGCGTCTGACAGACCTGGTCTTCACCTGAAGACGGCTGCTTGCGTTGTAGCCGAAACGTCGTGAGAATTATTTTATTGTGTTTTATTTTTATTATTTTATTACTTCCCTTCTACGTGACTTTACCGAAAGAACCAAGAAGATATGCTAGTACTGTGTGTGTTTGTATGTGTGTGTGTTGTGTCGGATTGTATGTGTTAGTTTTTCTGTGTTGCTTGTCTGACTACAGTACAGGATATGTAATTTAGATACACATGCTTGTGTACATGTGTTTTATTACTTTGTGTGTGAGACGATGTGTATCTGGTGTTTTACGACTCGGCATCCAAATGAGTACCTGGTGTGGTGTGTAAAAACATCGCCACTGGGGAGACAAAGGCGGCCAGGCACGGTGTTGGCCACCCACCCCCTCGTGTGCTACTCGCTAACAGCACTTGCCCCAACAGTCCGTTACAGGCTACACGGGGGATCTTTGTCTTTGGTGACGTGACCTGTCGCAAGGGGCTTCACCACGTGTCGGCCACTGTGCCAGCATCCGTGTCAAAATTGGCAAAATGTGATACAATTAACCCCCACAATTGACGCAAATTTGTATTTGCATAGCAATCATCGCCCCTCTGACAATAAAACGTGGTTGTAGGACTTCCGAAAACGAATCATGGACTCGGTAGTAAAAACGCACTTACTTAATAGGCCTGGTAACTCACCATAGAGCGAGTTGATTGCAATCTACGGTAAATGGTCGCAATTTTATTTCCTAGTTGACTCTGCCCATTACTGTATGCCAGTATAAAGTGTGTACCAATTTGTGGGGAGGTGGTTTTCATATATAGACTCACACCCCACCATAGCAATGTAGATTTTCCACCGCTGGAAACGGATATCACTTTGACGTTTTATTTGTGTGTGTGTCGTGGATATAGTTTTGTGAGTACAGTATAGGCATGTGTATATGATGTATGTCTGCGTGTATATATATCTGACATGTGTTAATATATGCATGACTGCATGCTTGTCTGCATACGAGTGCATGTGTATGCAATGACATAGGCAGTGGCGGTGGTGCTGAGAATACGCTGACCTTAGATCGAATTCCCTGCAATGGCCAACATCAGAACCTGTCCTGGTTCCTCGCCTCGGTCGACTCAGCTTTAAATGAGTACCTGGTGTAGTGTAACATCAGCACTGGGGAGACGAAATGGGGTTAGCCGTGATTATGGTCAACCCTCGTGGTCTGTTCTGGCTTGAATTGTTACTCGAAGAAAATGTATTCGCTGCCTGAAGACTGACAGATTTTAACTGGTAAGACCTACTGACATATTTAGCTCTTTTAAGAAGCAATCTGGCTGCGAATGATAGCTCAATGAAGTGGCTTATCACTTGGAAATTGATGGCAGCAGCCAAATACTCTAAACGCATGTTTCTAAATGTGGAGGGAAAACCGGAGGACTCAGACATAAATCCATTGCTCCACGGGGAGAACATGCAAACTCTAAATATATAGGCGTCGGGGTCAGGATCGGAATCGAACCCACAACTCCTGTATATCAGGCGAGGTAGTTAACGTCTCGACACCGTGTTAAATATCGTACACCTTGTGGTCACGTGTGGGCAGAGGAAAGGATGATGAGGCAAGACCTCTCCAGGCAATGGCGGAATTCCCCACTTCAAGATGCTATCAACTGAACGCCCATGAGCTGTTCTTCTCACCCACTGCATCATTGCTGTGAACTGCAAGACTGACTGAAATAAAAGTGTGTTCCTTTTGAATAAATGGGATCACCAGCCAATACTTTCATGGGTGCTATTTTGACAGTCGGTTTCCTTTCTCAAGTAATTTGATTGGGCATTTACATATATTTGTAAATCTTTAAAGATTTCCAAGCTATATGAAATCTTGGTGGTCTTCACACATTTTTTTTCAGCGAAAGCCCAGGCTAAATTCCCTTGCCTGATACAATCACCTGTGTCGTAACTGATGGTGTATTTCTGTCCGTTACATTTTTAGGGGGCAAATGGATATTAATTAAGATTACCATGCAAACACCAATACCTATGCTCAATGTGTGTTATCAATGTCAGCAGTGAATCCTTTTCAATGACATTTTTTGAAGGATTTGGTGAGGATTATTCATGATTGAACAGTTTATATATTTTTTGCAGAACCTATGGAAACTGTTGTGTAATGATCACCGATGTGTGTTTTTTTTTTCTCAGAATACCTCCAGATGCCATTGCTACCAGTGTACGTTGTTGGAATATCGTGCCAACTGCAGAAGTGATTTACTTTTTCACATTATGACAGGGTAGGCTGTGATAACAGCTGAGTTAATATTAATGACGTGAATATGTTCGAAATAACCAACGAGTAAGAATATGCATTTATACTGGTTGAATCTGATGCGCTATAAAGCTCTCTTTCACAGCTGTCCAACAACAATTATTGCAATGCCGTTCTGTT